TCAAGCCTCTGCTGGCATGCCTGTCACTTCTCTGTTAGCAACAGCAGTCAAGCTGAACTTGGTATTTAATCCTTCAGGAAAACGTATATCCTCTGTTTTGGAAAAAGTTATTTTTATAAAGGATTATCATTATTTTAGCATAATTAAGTCAWAAAAGAACACCTCAGAGAAAAATTTTAAAACTAAACATGGAGCAACACAAGATCAGTTTCATTCGTTTTTCTATAATCTGTACTSTCAAGAATTAAGTAAATTTTTGATGGTGATTAATTCAATTAATTTAAGCATGAGGTTTTGTGCAATCTGTTTTCCAATTAAAAAAAAAGAAAGGCATTATTTTCCTATTAGGAGCTGTCATGTTGCTGGAAATGTTCCTCAATACTGCAGCCTGCTGTTCACTGTCAGCACAACATAAATATCCTGGATGCTCTCATGGTGTATTTTTTTGGGTGTTAATTCTGGGTTCTGAGTATTCAGCATCAAAAACAGAATGGAAGAAGCAACACAAACCAAGACAAAATGTGAGCCTAAGTAAAAAAAGAGCATTTCTGTTTAAAAAAAAAGAGTAGTCTGAATATACTTCCAATTTCACATAACTGTAAAAATTGATGCTTTGAAATATATTGAAGAACTTAATTAAAAGAGATATAAAAACTGGCAATAACAGCAACKTTTTTTCCTCCTCTTTGTGGCAAGGAGTACATTGGCCTGGAACACATACCCTGTGACTTTACTACTTTTTTGGGGGGGGGTTAAATGTAAAAACCAACCAATGTAGCATCTTGGACGAGTAGTACGTGAATGACAGTCACCACTCTGCCAAAGGGACCATTTGATGCTGTTGGGTTTTTTGACGGCTTTGGGGTTGTCTTTTTTTGGTTTTTTGGGGGTTTTTTTGTTAGTTTGCTTGTTTAAAGCAAGCCTTGTATAGAAGATGCCAGAAGTCGCCACATCTCAAATGGACTTCAATCCTCTGTGATACATCCTGCCCATTCTGTACATGTCCAAGAGCTGTGATTAAGAATGAACACTGAGGTTTTCCCTCCCAGAAACATCTGTGTTATGTCCTAGATCTCTGCTCCACAAAATAGCCTTTATAGCTCATATTTTTATGGCTGAATGTACAGCAGATGCACACAGATGGCATATTAATTGGTATTTCAAAACTGGTACCTCTTATTGGAGTTGCAAATGCTTTTTAAAATTATATAAAAWCCCTAAGAACTCGGGGGAGGGATCAGAGCAGGAGCTGTGATCTAGTTCTGCTTGTTTGTTGCCTGGCATTACATTAATCCAATCCTGACTGATGCCTCTCGGTGATTTTACAATTTAACTACAAAATCATAACAGGGGAATTGGCTCTAAGTTCTTATTCCTTGTGGGCAGAAATACTGATTTGCATTAATGAAACGCTCGGATCCAGCCAGAAACAGTGTKAGGAAAAAAAGGAGAAAAGAAAAAATGGAGCCTTTTCCATCCTCATGCCCATCTTGGAGAGACCAGACAGACCAGGCTCTTTCCAGAACCAGCCTGCAGGGAAAGCCCTTCTGATCAACCATGACAGATTGGTTCTGCTGCTGTCCCAGAGCTGTGCAGGACAGCCAGGAACAGCAGATGGATCGAACCTSCCCATCCCACCTCCACACTCGGACACAGTGGCACAAGGTCTCCCAGATCCCATCTCTCACAGGATACTGCCTGCCTTCATCCGGCCTGGGGGGCTGCCTTTCTGCCATCTCTTCACAGAACCTGAGTGACCAATTWAAAATCACTGCAGAAAGCTTAGTCTTCCCACAGAATCTCCTTTTCCCTGCCACAGTAAGGATGGTGGTGTTCCTCACCTTTCCATCTCCTGGCTGCCATACTTGACTCAACTTCCCTCCTACGACGATTCAGACGAGACGTGTCTAAATCTTGCCACGAGTTTACATAACTCCTTCCAAATGTGACTTTCTGAGTGAAGAGGACTTCGATCCAAGCTCTTCATTCTCTCGAGCGCACGGATAACCCCGGCGTGCGGTTCCGGTGGTAGCAGCTCCGCCGCAGCTCAGCATGTCCCTGAATACAGTGACCTCTCATGGACGATGCCGGCACTCGGTGAGCAAGGGACAGTTCYGTCTCAGCTGGGCGTGGGAGGAGAACAGCAGCAGCAATAACAAACTTGTAACGAAATTCATGTTAGGCCCCGATAATTTTTGCCGTTTCAACATAATGAGCCACCTCAGCGTTTCATCTGAGAGTGAGAGAATATTGTGTGACATTCTTTACTTTGGAATACAAAGTAAATGATATTTCAGACACAGAAAAATGTGTTATTTACACTGCACTGTAGCAGCGTTCACCACCACCAGGCTGATCAGCTGGGGGGTGGTGCTGAGTCAAGGAAGGATCCGTCAGGCACCRACACGCAAAATCCTTTCATTCCATTAGTTATTTAGATGCCAAGCAGCCCATTTGATGTCCCTGGCCGTGCGTCCCGGGGCTGTCCCGCGGGGAAGCTGCCCCGGCAGCCCCGCTCGCCCGCTGCGGGCGGGATGTGCTGCATTACGACACACTGCGGATGCGCCCACGTGGGGCTCGGAGTGGCTCCGCGGCACCCGGGGATGGCAGCTGGGGCACACGCCACCCCTGCACCCCCTTCCACGGCATGGCACATGCTCCAGGTCGTCCGGACACTCCAGAAGGCACCTGCTGAGGCGGTGGCCTCAACTGAGCAGCACATAGACAGGGCTGACATGTCCACTTCTCAGAGTAATTTCATTCTTAACAATCACACAGTCTGATTTTCTGATTTTCCTCTAAATGAAAAGGACTAATGTTTGTTCCAACTCTTTGTGATTTAAGTGTCTGTATTTCTTCAGCCACCTGTGATTAGCAAAGGTAGCAAAGAAACCCAAACAAACAAAAAAAAAACCAAAAACCCCAGCCACCAAAAGTAACAAAACTATGGTATCTGCAAGGTATTTATTGCAAAGGCAGATTCTTGAAGACCCTACCCCTTTAAAGTCTGTGAACTCAACCATAAGAAAGTAGACCATGGTGAAGGGAAAAAACATTTAAACAAGTATTTCACCGGGACAGAGATTATTAATTCCTTTAATAATTCCTTTCTTTACCATTACCATTAATCTTCCTCATACAGAGTACRAGCCTACCACAGAGCATATTCCCTACACAGAACAGATTAACAGATTATTGGCATTAATCTGAAAAAAACCTTCCCGCAAAGACATGCTAAATTCCAATGGCTAAGGAGTTCTGGGGTTTTTCCCCACACTCTACTCAATTTGCCAGGATACGGGAAGGGCCCTCTGACACTTTGGAATGTGATGTGAGGGTCCCTCCAAAATGGAAAAAGGGAGACTGACCTGACTACAGGACAATTCCTCTTCTTACCAATGACAGCAACACAGCTGGGACATTGTTTGCCTGAATTAATTTTCTTTCAAAATTTTAAGRTTCAGGTTCTCTATGACATTTGCARTGTATCTCAGAGGAAATACMACARTTTATAYACRAAACAGCTGTAGTAATGTGTTAAACTATGCTAGAAATCCTCACCTTCCATGTGGCTCCAGGAAGGACAGAATATTCCACCTGTTGGGGGTCCACCCAAGGTCACTGGTATAATTCAGAAAGTGTCACGGCCACTTCTGAACAGGTGACACTGGTGGCAGTGACAGCCTGCTCCCATTTCAATCACCCATGTTTACAGTTTCCTCTTCCCCTAGTATTTTCCAGCAGCGGTCCCTCCCTTCACAAGGTGCAAAAGATTCCTGCACGCCCCTCCCTCCTGCCCTGGCACACGGATGTGTGCACTGACCTGACTCCTCTGACCTGGCTCTGTCCAGGGAGGCTACTCCTGACTTCCCTCTGCAGGGAACTGCTCCCTGCGGGTCCAAGGCTTACTGGAATTCACTCCTGCTTCTCAGCAACTTCCARTCAATCCCTAAGCAGAAAGGATTTTTATTCAAGTCATTACTGGGAACAACTTCCAGTAAGGAGCGAGACAAACAAGAAAACAAATCTAAAGGCAATGTTCCACCAAATCACTACAAAATCACACACCACAGGCTGTCGAGATCCATCTGTGTGACTGCTCATTGCACCAGCTCAGTTGAAGTGACATATGTAAGGCATCAACATCTCTGCGCTTGTTAATCAAGCAAGAAAGTTGTTTCATAGTCTCTAATAAYGTAAATCTCAACTTTTTCAACTGTATGAAATTTTACATTTACAATATTAGTAGTGTTAGCCTACATGCTACTCATAATTAGACTGAGCAATATAACATTACAGAGTAAAAACTTGTGTGCATGAATAGTTCACTGTTCAATAACCAAAAACTTGGAAAACAAGAAAAACCCAGAGAACACTGTACATTCCATGAAAATAATTTAAGACACTGTATTGGTCACATGTTCAGGAAACTGTCACTTGGAAACGCTTGATTTTGCAATTTATCTGCTTTCCATCAAAATCAATATTTGAACATATTTTAACAATCACAATACATTAAAACCCTGGTTCCTTACATTTCTTTGATTTTAAAACATATTGGAGCTTCTTAGAGCTATTCCTTTTAGATGRTTCCCTGGGTGGTGTCCAAAGTAAGGAAAGGATGTAAGCACTTGAGCAAAAGATGGGTAAAAAGTTGGAGACTGGTGCTTACTCAAAATGATGTTCTTTGGCTGCCAGCTAGAACATGGAGCTTTACCTCCATTGGGTAAATGTTCAGGGAACTRCAGTGCCCCAGCCTTTGTGTGCTTACTCCCATCCACTCTGCTAGTTTCACTTCCCACAAAAAGTTCTATATCAGAATATTTTGCAAAATATTAATTTAATTCTTTTTATTTTTGGCACTTAATTTGGGAGGGAGGGCAGGTGGGAAGTGAATGGAAAGAAAYGTGAGAAGAGAGAAAACAACTATTTCAGAATGAACTTTTGCACAAAGGAATGAAATTACATTTGAATRTATCAGTTTCAGTGCACAGGAGAGATGACATTTTAAAATAACTTTATTTTTGATCCTCTTTCAAAATTATGTTTAACATCATCAGAAATGAAATAAGAAACTTACCCAGCAAATTTAGTTTTAAAAGCATTTAATGACATCGCATATATTTAACAGATAGGGTAAAAGTCTAGAGGTACAGTTCGATACAACTGAAAGCCAGTTCCAGTACTACTCTTGACTACAGGCCCAGTCATTGAAAGTTCATTCCTATTAAATGTAATTTTTGATTGTGCAGTAAGATGAAAATTTTTCATTACAATAGTTACAGTGACAGAAATGCACACTATGTATCAAAGAGCAAGGTAATGTAGCAAAATTATAACACACAGTGCTGCAGCTGACAAGCAAGTAACCATTTGAGTAACATTACTTTTCCAGTAAATGCTTCAGTTCCACTTTTACACTTATCGATGATTTTAAAGGGTTTATTATACATCTAGTCTTATTATACTTTGTACTAGAATTATCTGAAACATACAATATAATGTATTTTGGAAAAAAAAAAAAGAAAGAAATTTGAAATTACAGCTTATTTAAAACTGTACCAGCCTGTTAATCCATCTTGAACACCAACATTCTTATCTGTCGTACTTGATGCCGGGACGCTTCGGATGGTGTTAATACCAACGTTGGGCTGTGAGTCAACGCATACCTGCACTCTGTTACAGCAAAGAGAACACACTACCACTTTAATTCCTGTTAGAATCGCAAGGGGAGGCTCTACTAGTCAGGACTCAGCATAACAACCTTAACTGGAAGTGAATGCCTTTCAGAATTTGTACATTGGTTTCTCATGTGCACAGTAGATTCGAAAGCACCGCTGCCTTGCATACCAATAGCACTAGGAGTGGGTTATTTTCCAAGACAGCCTCACAAAATTGAGGAACAGTTTAAATATTAAGATCTAATCTACATTAACTTCATTTAAAAAAAAAACAAACCAACAAACAAAAACAAAAACAAACCCCAAAACCTGGTCCTCCCTCTCCCACAGAAGCTGCCCAATGCACCTCATACGTTTGTAACTTTAGATTCTTTTTTTTTTGTTGGCTTTTTTATTTTAAAACGCTCTATAAATAAAAAAATGTCAATCACATTGAGGAACATGAGGCACAGAGAGTAACGTATTGGTTCTGAGCTCGCATGCTGGAATTCCACTGGAACGGTCAGAGAAGTGCAGTGTGTGGAGATGGAATTCACTTCTTTTTACCAAAAAGGCTGAATCTTTTCTCTTTGTCTTTCTCTTTGTCTTTCTCCCGCTTGCCAGGGCTAGACTCGCTGGTTATTGTGACGCTGGCAGGCAGGGTCTGGGCACGGCTGGAGGCTGGAGTGCTCTGGGTGGTCGGGGACACTTCGATTTTGTCTGAAGAGATTGCTGATGTGATGGCCTGAATCCACGTGTTCATCTCCTCCTTCAAAATCCCCAAAGGCACAAAACCGTTACAACCAGCACACCCCTCTGACTCCCGTGACATTGTGGAGGGGGAATGGACACAGGTGAGAAATGCAAGGAAAACCAGCTCCACCTCATCCCCTCTGGCTGTGCACTTCCAAAGATACCTCCCATAGGCTGTAGCTCAGCAGCCCTGAGTCTACACATCACCCACACACAGARTGCACTCCAGCTCTCAACAGCTGGTTCTCCCCGTGGTACAACAGCACAGCTATCAAAGTAATAAACGGTAAGAAAACTACACTTACATCATCTTTGGCTTGGAAGAGGTATTCATTGCCATCGGTCAATCTGGAAAGAAAGCAACCATCACAAATTTAGTTCAGTAGTGGTCACACTGCTTTAGCTCCTGCTTGTTCGGCTCCAGCACATGAGCAGCCTGAGGCACACAGGACTGCAYAGGACAATGCTCACATGCCAAACACCCCCAACAACTCCTGTTTCAGCCACACACATGGCAGCTCCAGGCTCTGGACATACTCAAGGTGGTGCTTGTGTTTCTGTGTGSCTGCTTGCTCAGTACTTGTTCTTTCAGGTACATATTTTCTCTTTCACAAAACACACTATCGAGGCTTACTCAATACTTTAAAAAGWAAAAGGTCACAGGCAGCACCCAGAGCTTTCACTGCTCATGTGAAAACCCCACAAAATTCTGCAGCTGCTCTGCCCTTGTAGCTATGGTGTGGTGCTGGCTCCTACACTAAGTATTAGTGTTAGTGATGAGCAGCTGCCTCTCCTCACAGTGAAGGCCAGAGTCTCCCCTCWGATTCCTGTGCTGATTTTACTCAGGTCATTTAATTGGGATACATTTAACAATGTATATGATGATACACATAAATTAAAAATCAACTGAATGACACCAGAACAAGCAGGAGGCAGAGGCAGCGGTAGCTCTGCTACAGGCTTCCCCATCTTTTCTAACAAGAAGCCAGCATTTAAACAACTCTTTATGAAATGAAATTAAGGATTAAACAGCAAAACAACAGTTCCTGAGTAAAGGAAATATCTATATGCAAGTAACCGAGGAGCCTAATGCAGGTAATGAAACACTGGCAAAAAGGGCAGCTGTTTTTTCTGCCTAAYTTTGCATTTGGAACAGCATATCCTTCCATTAGCAATTCAGAGAGGTTTAAAATAGTTTAAAGGATGAATCATATAGCTGCAGGCCTGTCTTTGAGAAAGGTACATCTCCCTAAATATTTGCTATATATTTTTACATATATTTTCCATAAAGCAAATTTTCCCTGGACAGGGATTCTATGATCTTTAGAGGATTCCTGTACYGATATAGTATTACACCACCATCCYCTCTGCTCTGCCAAAAAAATCCAAACCAYRTGTCTTGAAATATATMACCTGATCAGTTCATAAAGTAAATCTCCTTTGACAGAATGATCTCATAGCTATGTAATGACAAATATCTTTTAACTGTTGCCACTAGAAAATTGTTCAGTAAAACAAAGTTTCCCAAGGAAACGCCTTTTTTTAACCTTTGAGCAACAGGTCATTCACACASTTCAGAGTGAAATGGTTTGTAACTATACTGTCTAGACCTGAAAATGTGAGAGATGTCTTCATTAGCTCCTAAATTCATGCTGAAAAAATTAAACAAGAGGCTTGATTTGGAAAAGAGCAGAACCATGATCAGTGTTCTCAAACAGTTCCAGAGGGAGTGGCTGAAAAGCCTAGCACTGTGAAATACAGGCCCCTAACTCCAGGCACACACATCTGGTCTTGTCCCAGATGAAAGCGCTCTGATTTTATTGTGACACTGTTCTGTGCTTGCTCCCTTTGATGAGCAAACCACGACTCAGTGTTGGGAAGAGCTTGCTCAGAAAAGCAGATGCTGCAGTTAATTCATGATCAGTTCCAAGGCTGGATTTCCCAGTAAACACACCCATCACAGCTTTCTCCAAGGGCAGAACACTGCCCCAAGTWTACCTGAGCTTGAACACATGCTTTTTCTTTTTGTAATCGACTGCTACTTCACAGACCGCGTCCTTCAAGCTGACAGGGATCTCGTTGTGRTAGGGGATGCCAGAAGCAGCAGCTTTCGAGTCCTTGTAGAAGCCCATCTCTTGGTTGTTTATGACACAGTACACGTTATGCCATGACCTTCAAGACATGGGGAACAACAAAAGCAGTTAAAAATACAATGCTCTCGCCTGCAGAACTGGAGAAACCAAACGTAACTATTTCTTGTACGTTAGTGGAGATTTGTTTARTGTGAGGATGTGAATATTGCCTATGATGTCCCATGAAGTGCAGACAGAGAATTYTTTCATAGAAGCACAGTTTTAAGACAAAAGCCAAAAGGAACAGAGATTCCCAGAGYTCCCTCTGATAGCACATGAGCATGACCTCACAGTGGGAGGACTGTTTGGCAGACTGGGCACTTTGCATTCTTAAGACAGAAGCTGATTGACCTTTTAATGGCTCTGTTGGAGAAGAAATTCTCACTTGCTGTAAACTGATTAATGGAATGGAATAGACTGTATGTGAAATCCTTGATTGACACAAATACTCTTAGTGGCATCATCTACCTCATTCTCTAATAGAGCTGTGAAAACAATTACTGGAAATAAAAGTACCCACACTCTAGTACTGCTGGCTGTCACTGCCACAAAGGCTTTGTCTGGTGTGAACAACTCCAGTGGAACAAAAATSCTGGTACTGTACTCACTGTACTACTCCTGCTGTACTCACTTCTGATCTCAGCTCTGCCATGTGCTTCAGCTCCTACCATATCCCACAGACAATGCTGCAGCTCAGCACTTGCTGTGAACATTTCCCTTGACAGTCAAGTCATAAATCTGGTTTCAAGAGCGAAGGACCCCAGAAGGCTTTTTCAGTGCAGACAAATCTCAAAGTTTTGCTTGTTTGAGACCTGCAGGACATTCTTTGGGAATGGAATTGACTATGGCACACCAATCGTCCTCTGTTCATGCTGAACAGATTACAAAGTAGGTGAAAAGTTGTAATGTGCAAACAGAAAATGTCAGAAGAATACGACCATTTCTAGGCTCACACCTACGTGGTTTTCTTTTCTTSTAGTAATGTACAACTTGAGAGATCTGGAATCAAATCCCACTACTGCCACAAATCCATCATGAGAAGTGGGAAAGTCGTGGTATCTCTCCGCCTTAGTTTTCCACCTGACAAATGTGGCTAATGCTGCCTTTTGTACCAAATATCTTTAGACTGCAGTTCCCCATCTGCAGCATTCACTCCCTACAGCAACAGGAGCCTGGGAGGTCTCTGGGAGCTGGAGGAGGCTGGACATGGATGTGCCATCTTGGGAGAGCCCTTGGCTGTCCTGCCCTGTGTTACACAGGGAGCACTTTACCTGCTGGAGGCTTTCTTGCTGTGTGTCTCCCACTCGTGCTTGCGGTGTAAGAAGCCTTCCATCTGGGCTGAGGGGATCTCCTGGGTTTTGGCCGGGAGGGTAGCAGCAGTCTGGGCCTGAACGCCGCTCTTGGCTTTGCGGTCTGACGTCGGGGAGGGAACGGGACTGGACTCTTTGGAACTTGTCCTCTGTTCTGCAGCTCCATTGACCATTTCRTTAGTTTCTGCAGTTTCTGCCACCTAGGAACAGTGGAGAACACGTTCAGCCAGAAGCCCCCAACACTGAGGTATCCTGCAGTTAATCTGTCTCCCTGAACAACGTGGCTGTGTATAAACTTTGCCTGGACAATGACACAGGCCAATAAGTTCTTTCTCGCACTCCATGGAGACACAGGAGGCCAAGGAAATTAGAAGGTAGGAATGGATTAGTACTCATTTTACAGGTGGAGAGATGGGAAAATAAGAGCAGCTGAACATCAGTGTGAATCTTACTGTGCTTTRCTCTGCTGGTCAATTCTTTTATACATAGTTACTCCTAGAATGAGAGCAATCATCTGTTGCTAAGCAGTCAAATGTTTGGAACAGTAACAATCACACTTTCTGCAAACCTAGAGGAACAGTAGAAGTTATACACATCAGCCACCTTAAATACATTTATGGAATTACTGGGGCATTAGAGGTCCATAAAAGGTATTAACTATGAGTCAGCAGAGAAAGATGTCATAATAGCCCAGGAGCATTTACAAAAATGTGTGCAATTGATTTGTTTCTGTAAAAGCTCCTTTCCCACTTTCCCCATTCCCCTAGTGACACAACAAAATCAAAACATGCAGAAATTAGAAAGATTACACCATGCATTTCATCTCCACCATCCCAGTTAGGATACTGGATCGTAAAGACAAAGGGAATGAGGTCACATGTCAATTGATTGAGGTCTGGTTCAGACTGGCGTTATTAGGTGGATTGGATTTTGGTTAAAGGAACTGAAAACCACCACAGTCACACAGCATCACACAACTATTTACCCCCAAACAAAGACAGAACCAAGGCCTTGCCCATCACTTGCTTTGTTGGTCGCGTTGCCTGGCGCACTGGGATCGATAGCCTAGAGAGCAGCCGTGTTTCCAGCAGCTCTCACTGGTCAAGCTGGCGACGTCTTCAGGAGCCATTCATCCAAAAATCATTTAAATTGGAATCCTAATGGCTATAAGCTTTTGAAATGCAGCTTGGTCCCAGTTTTGGTTTTTTGTTTTTTTTTCTTGTACCATTACTTTGACATATAGAGCCGTTGGTAGCAGCTCAGGAGTTACACAACCAGTGTGTAGTATTATTATTAGCAAGTTACTAAAGCTCAGTGCTGCTATTGCTCTAGTAGATTACAAACATTCTGGACTGGTTTTATGCAGACAAGCAGGTTTTTGTGAATGACACACTAATTAGACATTCCCACTTCTGCACATGGCCTGGACAAATCAAAAGCAGCCGAATTATTATGCAACAAACTCAATTTTGTCACTGTTTGCTAGAACTTCTTATACCTGTYCCATATCCATTATCATGCCTCACACCTTGTACCTCACCATTGGCCTAGGAAGATCTGAGTGTCWGCTTGCTCTGAACATGGGAAGGATTGGTTAACTGCCTTTAGCAACCTAAACCTCCAGAGTACAGACACTACACCCCCAAATTGGGAGAGAATCAGAGCTCACATTGCGTTTCAGTCAGATTTGCTTTACTCTGTCACTACAGATACATATCCTTATGCTGCTCCTTCACAATTAGGATCAATCTAAGCCATCAACCCTCACTACCTGTATCCAAATCTCAAAGTATAACAAAAATGTTGCATTAAAGCAGGGGAGAAGGTAAACAGATGAGGCTGAACATTATCCAAACACTGCCAGAACACAGGTAGTGGAATGAACAACCCGAGTCACAACTCATCACCCATGCCAACCACCTACAACCAACAGATCCTTTCAAGAACAAGGAGAGTCCTTTGCACACCTTTCTGTCCAGTAACACTCCTGAACCTCAAACTTTGCTTTGCCACTGGCTGGTGCCCTGTCTGAGAGATCTGACACCTCTGACCAGCACTGAGGAACCACACAGTCCACAGGAACTTGTCTCCACAACCTAAATGAACTCCACAGAGTACCTGCCCCTCTCACTAACAGAGAAAACAGCGTGTTTGCTGGAGTGGTACCAGCCAGATGTGAAAACAGGACTGATTTGGGGGTACCTAGAGCCCCTAATCGAGGCAAACCAGACCAGTTTCAAACCAGCAGCCACTGCACAGCTACTCAACGTAATCTATGGGAAATAATATGAATTCAGTGATGCAATCTGCAGCCCTGTGGCTTTGAACAGTAACTGCCAACTTYAATCACACTATCAGACCTGCACCTTCTACGTCAAATTCTACTGGTTGTAAAAGGGCTATGAAAAGCTTTTCTGATGCTCTTTCAGGTTTTATTTCCTTTCATGTATTATCTACAATTAACAGAAAACAAGCAAAATAAATCATGAACAGCTCTGCAAAGGATGTGTCATGAAAACAAAGAAAAAACATGAGCTGAACATACATAAATAAAAACATGCGTGAGGCATGCGGAGACAATGCCATGGAGGACAAACAGCAACAGCAAACTCCTGTTACAGCACAACAGTTCTCGTGTACATGACACAGCTCTCTCCATGGGGCCTGAGGGGTTAGTTGGAAGTGCTTTAGTGGCTACAAGCTACTCTGGAAATCTTTAAAGCAGGACTGGGACATGCAACAAGACAGGTGGTGACAAAGACGGAGGCGCCCCTTTGGTTTTYACAGTGCTTGAAGCAACATCTACTCAGTTCATCAACTCAAGGCTCTGCCCCACAGCTGAAGAACCAAATGATTTGCCTGGTTCAGATGCAAACAGATGCCAGCCTCTAGGCTGTTCTGGCAATAGGACCTTCCTAATGCCTTAAGCCAGTCCCACAAGCTGCAATAAATAGGTGAAATCTTATTCTTCTRGTGCCTGAAATGATGATCTTAATTGATGACTTACTTTTTCTTCATTGTCATAAAAGCGGAATTTTTATGCAACTGTACTAATACAAATAAAAAAAGGTCTATCTCTATAAATTCATTCTACAGACTACTTTTTCACCAGAATACATTTGAAGGCTCTGCAGATGGTGTAATCTGAAGCTACAGCTACCCTGCCCTGAGAACTGGCACATTTTCGAGGCACAGGGCAACCACCAGAGCATCCCCATAAATGCATATGGAATTTTTAAATGCATTAAGAAGCTATATGCTGTTATCCTGATAAAAGAAAAAAAAAAACAACATGCATCATGAAGTGGAAAGACAAAAGTACGGTTACTGAAGCACATCCTTTCAATCGCCGCTCTCACTTTACAAGCTCAGCYCACACAGAACAATCCAGCTGCACTGCTCAGCCAGTTGTCAGAAGCCAAAATTCTGATCAACAGCAGCACATCTTGTGCCTCACAGCAGAATTGACACAGCTCTGTACACCTGAGATATTGCAACACAGGACTCAACAAACTGAGCTTGAAAGCTCTCATGGAAGACTGAAGTGCAGATGGTAAAGATGAACATGGAAATGCATTATGTAGCATGGCAATAAAATAAAATTTCAAAAGAAGTGWACAGGTGACATATAAGGCTGCGCTAACCAACAAGATGATGATCTGAGATGTGCTTGAAAATCACTTCACATTCCCTGCCACAACTGTAACAGAATTTATAAACATTAGAATGTACAACAGCTCACTCCAGAAGAGAAAGGTGGAACTACTGAGTACTGTGGAACATTGGCAGAGTCTGTGTGCAGACTCAGAACTAACTGGAATGGACTTCTTAAAGGCAAACCTGTGCTGAAAGGCATTTCCTGCCAGAGCCCTCGGCTGGGAACTGTTTGCTCTGCTGCACTGTAAGAGCCCTGATAGCCACATATCCCAGCCTGCCAGGAGCCTTTCCTGCACTGAATATGACCCCAGAGAGTCAGGTTCAGTAACAAAGAGAAGTGTCCTTTCACTCAAAGCATTAACTGAAACAAGGAGGCTCTGCAGGAAGGGGATGAGGAGGGGAGCCAGATTCAGCTCCTGTGTTGCATTAACTCCAGAGACATTTACTGGCATTGTCATGGCTGCACATGAGGATTCTTGGCATGCATCCTGACTCCACTGGGACACCTCCTATCAAGGAGCAAGTAAGGCATGGAGCATTCAGCCTGCACCTAGGTAAAATAATGAGCTGGGATCTTAGATAATGTATTTTATTTTGTTTTTCAAGGAAAGCTTCACAACYTCTTCCCAAGGGGACACACCCTATTCTCCTTTACACCCCTGCCTCTCTGGTGCCCAGAAAATCAAATTGCTGTAGCGCCAGCTGGACAGGACCAAGGCCAAAGGGGGCCCACCACAGCAAGGTCACAATTCTGCATGAAGACTAAACCCCCAGATAAATCTAGATACTGGTTTTGAATGGTTTATTTCACGTTTATTTGTCTCTGCAGTCAATGAGTCCATTCTGTATGGAATGTAATACAACTAACCTTAAGGCTTTTATTTGTCCACAGTCACACTCCCCCCTCCCAGCCCTTCCTGCCCAGCTCACTCGTGTGGATTATCTTTGGCCTGGTACATAACTCTTGCTAATGCAGCTGATTTAATAAAGTTGCCGTGCTGAGACCTGTTAGTATAACTCGATGCGTCATACCTGTCAGGTCCTAGTGCTCTTCTTCATTAGGATGTAATCTCATTACATCTCAATTACTCATATAAAGGACGCATTTGCTGGAAAATCTTAATACTATTAGCAACATGAAAAACTCACAGTAAATAACATGAAATAAATGTGTCACCTTAAAACAACTAAGTGTCAGTGGGGAGATTCAAATAAACAAAGATTAAAGTGAAGCAAATATATATCCAAGGAGCTGCTAATTAAATAAAAGTCAACTGATGGGAAGGAAGAGAAAAGCAGCAGGGAAATCTGAAGCCAGAAGATTAAACCAGTACCAGTAAACCATACTGAAAAAAGGTTTCTTTTGCTGCAAGTGATTCTGTAGGTTACAGTCCAGACCATGAGCGGTCATTGGCTGTCCGTCTGCTAATAAAGTTTTTGTAGTTTTGGTAGGTTTGGGAGCGGTAACTAACCCGTGGAGATTCCTGGTCTGAAGGCAAACCATTTTGGGAAACCTGTTCTCCTTTTGTCCCATCCCTGTTGGGAGAGAGGAAGAAGAAAAGAAATTGGATAAGGCTCTTAGAAGTCACCCGTCTTGTTCACCAAAATGAGATTTTCTTACTGAATATTAATTTTAAGAAATTTAAGCAAGTTCCTAAAATCCTCAGGCCCAACTAAATAAATCCAGTTATGATTTACTGATGTGAAGGGAGATTTAACCAGACTTTACTGAGTTGCCTTACAAATAAACCTCCTCCTATCACATAAGCAATTTCATAAATGTCAATGTTCCATGGATGCAGCTTAAAATTTSTAATGGAATGCTCATCAAAGAAAAAAGCCAAGGTTGTTCAGAAACTGCAATTTGTGGCCCAGGGAGTGTAAAATCAGTATTCCTGTTTTTGGATCAGGGATGCCTCAGCAGTGGCAACTGGAAAATGTGAACYTAGCAGGGAATTCAGGAGTTTGGGAGAGGTCCTGTCCCCAGAAACCACCAAATCTTCTAACAAGGGTCATATTCCAAACCCATACAACCTGCTCTCCTTTTACAGCACATTTTCAGCCCAAGGGTTCCCCGAGTGAGGTACAGAGCCCAGCTCACCATTGCTGCTGGGAGTCTCCATCCTCTGCAACCTTGGACTCTGGAGTGGGCGGCTTCCTCTTCCGCTCCTCCTCCTCTTGCTGCCGACGGACTTCCAGCAGTTCCAACTGTGAGAGGAAACATTTTTGATGTAAAAGCACTGCCCATTTTGCAGGGTTTTCTATAAATTAACAACAACTCTGTCTATTTTTCTGAAACATTACTGAAATGAAAGTGAATTGGACTAAAATTGGAAAGTTTTAAAAGCATCAGTCATGCCAAGTTTGTGGCACCAAATTTGTCAGGGAGGGCATCAGCATCAGAGCCTCTGACAGCAGCCCACAACTGGCTATGTCTATTTTCCAACTCATTCTRTAAGAACAAAACCCAGACAAACAWRAAAAYAGCCAAAGTTATTAAAATATCCAAAARCAACATCCTCTTGTCTGTTTGCCAAACACAGAAATAAAATGTTCCATGTCTGAATCCCTGAAATAACCCATCTCCATAAAACCAGCCTGATTTTGTGACAATGCTGAGAAATTCCAGTTCCTTTTGTCTTCAGCTGTGACGTTCAGGTGTGTGAAAACCCAGGCCACCTCAATTTTAGTATCTAAAGCCAAATTGATCTCCAAAGATGGTAAAATGCTCTCTGAGCATTAATGACTGCCATTGCAGCTGTGTTCAAAATGGGGTTTGGGGTTTTTTTTGCTTATTGTGTCTTCCTAGGGGACAATACAACCTTGCACTGAAGCAGTCACGACACAACAAACATCACCATCACTGCCCSTCTCCCCATCACTTTCATCTTTAACCAAAAATAATTTGAAATGTTCAGATCTGGGTCTCTTCACTCAGAATCCCCCTTCCATTTTAGAGCCCAACCAGTACAGCAGAGGGCTGGACCAAATTGCTCAGCTCTGAAATTTCCTTCTGGGTTATTACTCCCAGGCCCAAGAGAGCTTCTGCTGTCTCCTGAGGTTATTTATCATTTGAGCTTTTTCCTTGCAAGTCGTTRAGCTCAAATTAACAAGAGAGGGTTTTAGTATGGGAGAAACATGAAACTTCAGGCCCTGGGTGGTTGGCTGAGGTTGATCAACAAACAACCAACAGCTGTAGCTCAGGTTRGTGATGCTGGTAGTTATTCCAAACCATCAGCCAAGAGGAATGGTCAGGGWGGTTCAGAGCACTCACCGTGGTCAGTCTCTCCAGCGCTGCAAATCTCTCGTCCCAGGTAGCTGCAGATTTCTCAAACGCTTCGTGCCGCTTGATTAATTTTTCCACTTCATCAACGCTCTGCCCTATTTCACGACTGGACAGGTAGGGCTCCTGTCCCAGCAGCCAGGCCTCAGCCACGCTTGCATCTCTGGAGAATTGGTGCACCTCCAAAACTGAACAAAGAGGGCATAGGTGTCAGAGCCATTAATGCCACAAAGAAGAGCATCATGGAGCATTAGGCAGCTTTGTGATTTTCTTAAACACAGCTCAGGGAACAAAATACATGTACTTGGCTAAGTGTTTCCATTATCCAAATTGAGTGAAACTGATAATTGAAAAGACACAAATTTCTCCTGTTGGCTTTGTTTGAAGGAGAAAATGCRTGTTTCATTTTGCAAGTTTAGTTTGGTTTTTTTTATTCTAATCTGCTGTAACCTACTAACTTCAGCATAGAAATTGGAATGTGACAACTGCAAAATACAATAAAGCTACTACACCAAGTTCTGAATTTGGTCACATAGAGCAAGCCCTTTGGTGCAGATTTCTTGACTTCAAATTTCCCATTATTTAACAACCAACAGGTGTGAACTTTGAAGCTATCCCAGCACAAACACACTTCAAAGCACTGTAACAAAAAAGTGAGGAGCTGCAGGGTTTTCTCAATGCTCAGACAGTGAAAAGAGAAATGGTCCAGCACAAAAAAAATCTGGCGGTGTTCTTACTCAGTCTCAGCCACTCCCATCTGTCTTCCCACTTGTCAATCATTTCTTTTCTCTTTTCTGTCAGCTGCAGGAGCTTTTCCTTGATCTGGATGGAGAGAAGAGACCTGTTACACAAGCACCAAGCAGCAGCTTCCCCCCACCCTGCACTGACAGACATTGAGTTCCTCAGGAAGTGACTTCACTCGCAAACAACAGCTGGTTTTCTCTTCCAAGTATTAAAAAATGTGACATTTCCATTAAAATATCACATTTGCATAAGCATTCAGTGTCTGTTAAAAGCTACAGCACCCAGAGTATTTGATAAAAGGGCATAATGGGCAAACAAATGTAAATAGTGCAATCAGGTACTGAATCTTCTGCCCTTTTAATGTGAATAATGCAAAATATGCAGCTCAGGATTGTTGCAGAAGCTCTCCCCTTCCTGAAAAGGAAGTGCCTCACAATGTTTGGCTATCCTTGCTTCCCCAAAGGGAGGTAAGAGAATCAAGGGCTAAACCTCTATGCTCTGGCCTAGACACATCAGAAAAGAAATCAAGGCTTTAAGCAGTTGAATATGATTCTCTTAATATTCCTTGAATTTATTCCYTACATAACAAACATTATCCTGCCCATTTCCCTGCAGGCCTCTCCACAGSATTCCATTATCCCTGCAGGAAGTTCAGGCTGTCTCACAGCTGCCTCTGCCCTTGCTCAAAGAAGCCACATTTCCATCCCAGAGCAATTCTCTGCAGAATGGAATGCAACAGCTTCTTTGCATTTTCTGGGCTGAAAATGACATTTCAAACCTCAATGCCACCTCTGCTACCCACCATGAATTCCAGAGTGGAGTTATATCCTGATTTCCCAACAGCACAGAAGTGCACCAGTATCTGAGGTGACATTACTTTTCTGTGGGTGACACGGGGCAGGTTTCCCCCATAGAAAGAACCCCTAGAGGCCCAAGGCTGTACACAGGGAGCATGGTACCTCCTCAGATGCGTAGTGTTTCCTGGCCAGCAGAGACTTGCCAAGTTCAATGCACGTGGTGAAGCTGTCATTTCGGGCATCAATTTCCGCTTTGATTCCTTGGTGATTGTTCATGAGGAGTTCCACGGATGAAACATCCCTAAAATGACCAGAAACATGGATTTTGGATTTAATAGCTGTTGTATTTTCAAACTCACCTGCAACTCAAGGAGAAAAGAAATTGATTGCTGGATTGTGTTTGTAGTTCAGGAAGCCTTTCCCTAGGAACAGCACCATCCTGGTCTGAATCAGAGATCAAATAACCCCAGTGTGAGACCAAATCTCTTTGGGTACAATTTTCCATGGCAATTATTCCAGCAGCCACACACACAAGCAAGTTGCTGCAGCAGCAGGCTCTGAAAGCCACTCAGTGACACTGAGCCTCACAGATGTTCCTCAGCTGACCTGCAGCATTATCTTTTGATAGAGAAGARATGCCTCACATTACCTTGGCTTTTCCTGGGCTTCTATCTGCCGGATAACATCTTCCATCCAGAGCATGAGATCCCGAACCATGCTGAAGAAGCGGAATTTGTCTCCGGTGTCCACCAGCCGCACCCTGCGGCCCTCACAGGCATCCAGCAGTGCCTTCCATGCCTCTAGAACCTCATTTTCCCTCTTTTGGATGTCATCGGCCTTGTCCCCAGCATAGGCAGCTTGGAGGCGAGCTGCATCCTCCTGAAGTTGTCGCACCTGTGACAGGTTTGGGACAGACAAAGCCGTCAGTGGGTTTGTGACTTCTGAGTCACAAATACAGGGACACTTCTCTGCTAATTCATCCCTTGAGGAGCTTTCTAAAGTCACTGCAAATGCACTTGGTCTGTTGACACTAGAAAAGTCTGTCCTGTTTTTAACCCAGTATTATCCCTTAGAGAAGACTGTTGGATCAARGGACCCCCAAAATAGCAAAGATCTGCCACTGCCTGAACCCACTGCAAGACACAGTGCCAAAACAAAGTGGCTGTTACATGCCAGGGCATCAAATTCCCTTCCTCTCACATATGTGACAAAGGCACTTGGGAACTCTGTATCCAAACCACTACTCCAGGTGACAGAGGTAATTTTTCAAAGACAGAGATAATGACTTCAAAAAAAAAGAAAATTTGGAAATGTTAAGAACCTTCTACTAACAGAAATCTCTTCCTTTCAAACACTGTCTTGGGCCGTCAAATGCTAATTTGTGACTGTTTCACATATTTTTTGAGCCAGGAAACATTTTATTAGCTCTTGTCTAATGATTAAGTTTTTAACATCAAATCAAACAGCCTTCTAGCTACAGACACAGAAACCATACCTCTTTCATAATGATCCACCTCGGTGCTCAGGCTGTTTCACCCAGAAATTATCCTGAGTGCTTTCCCCACAGCTCTGTGCTGTGATTACACATTCCTTCATTTAGGTCTTGATTATAATTACCTTTTTGAGAGACTGGGATTGATGTTTTGTGAAGTCTCCCATTTTCTGTATAAAATCTACAGCTTCTGAAAGTAAACACCTGGAAAATCAAATGCTTGCTCTATCTCCTTTGTTTTAGTGTAAATTGCAAYATAATCAAGAATTGGCTGGCATCTGGGCCATAAAATCTCTTTCCTGACCTACTGGGATAAATACAGTCAGTGGTAATTCCTCAATTCCTTATGCAACTTGCTCCCTTCCCAAATTCTCCTTCTGGCAGCTGTATGTTGTATTTTGATTTAGAATCCCTGCTGTGCTGTATGAACAGCTACCACCTTCTACTTGGCACACCTTGGGTTCAAAAGATTCATTAATTAGATCAAGTTTGTGTGCTTTTAAAAATCTTAGCCTGGTCTGTGGACTATAGATCTCTTTTGCTCTTAGGAAGCACAAAGAAAGGCCTTATTGAATTCAGAATACCCAGGTGGATAACCAAGTCAGAAAGCCTCTGTGTAGGACTTTGTCTCAGAAAGGAAAAATAAAGCTCCTGGCACTAAGGGCTTGATTGGGGCTTTTTGATGTTTTTAAAAACAAAAAAACCAAACTGACCAACCAAAATAAAACTAAACTTCAAAAAAGTCAGCTAGGCTTATACATTCCTTCTTATTTTGTATTTGAAATAAATACAGAAGCTCTCTGCCTCTCTCATTTCTTCAACCAAGAACAGGAAATGGAATAACACCCAACAATCGCCAACATGTTCAGAAGCCTGTGTACTTACAGATTGCTACTTTAGATAATCAATCGAATGCAGTGACAGAGCAGCAAACAGACAGATAAGAAAAGGACGCAGGTGAGGTTATTCCCACAGCAATACACTYAGGGAATGGCTGACAGCACTCTGTCTCACAGCCACAGAGGGGCCAAGGGCAGCAGCAAACTCTGCAGCTCAGGTTCCCACACCCACAGTTCACCTGCCACACACCTGGGTGCCCAGGGCCTGGATATCGTGCTCAAACGTCGTGTGCATTCTCTGTAGTGTTTCCACCGTGTTTTGGTCTCTACCAAGCTCCTCGGGCAGTTTCTTATGTTTGTCTTGGATACGTCCTAAGATCTCCTTGGCATCGTGGTAAAATTTGTGCAGTTCATAAGAGGCTGCAAGGATYTGTGTTCTCGTGTCAATGAGCTCCAGGAGATCTGCCCAGGCCTCATTGAGTCCATCCTTCCACTCGGCGATTGTGGCAGCGTCCGAGTGGCCGGAGTTGATGAGTTCATCCGCCATGTGGTTGACAGTATCCACSCGCTCCTGCCCGATGTTCCCGGTGTCTCGGGCGAATTCCCGGAACCGCTCCTGCAGCATCTGGAAGGCAGAGAAAGAGCCTTGTGCAGTGCTGTGGGTACAGAGAGACCTGAGCAAGCCAAGCCACCCGCTGTGAGCAGCTCTCAGAGAAGGCCCCTCCAAGGACTCACCGTGACATGTTCGTAATCCTGGCCCAGCTCGTGGGACCCCGCCACCACCTCCCTCTCGGCAATCCACTGCTCCAGGTCATCCACCTCCCGGTTGAGCTGGAACAGCCGGTGCCTCTCGTCCAGCTTGCCCCTTCTCTCCTCGGCGAGGTCCTTCAGGCCTGCATAGAGCTTGTCCACCTTGGACTGGCGCATGCTGATTCGCTCGCTGGAAAACCAAAGAGCACTGAGCCTGCATTGCCTTTGCAAACAGAACCAGTGTGGGGAAAACTGCAAGGAGTAACTTGAGGCATTTAATCCACAGAATGCATGTCTGCTGCAGGCATGAATTCAACTCAGACGTGCTGGACTGATCCTCAGCTGGCAGAGGTGACTGCAAWAACTGGAAAACTTGTCTGTCCTGTATTGTAACCTCCTGGCTTTAGAGAGGGGAGCTAAAATCAAGCTCTCCATTTGTCTGGCCACAGATCACASCAGGCTTCTCCCAAAGCTACAGAAGAATCTGAGCTAGTGAGGCAGGGAGCAGTTCCTATTCAGTTAAACTYTGCTTCAGAGTTCAGCAACACTCATGGGTTTCTTACCCTTGAAGCTCAGCACTTGCAGAAGGAATGAGTATTTCTACTTGCTGTATCTTTTGCCTGGGTTTTGTCTGAGCCATATAGCCCTGTCAAAGTGCCGTCCCTCTGTCTTGGAAAGTTGRTGATGTTCTTTCAGTACTCAGACAGCTCAGCCAGAGCCAGAGCTCATCAGAAATCACCATGACCACAAGAGAGTGCTTTAGAATTAAATAACAACCTTCCACCAGAGGCAGGATGTGTCTTTCCGAGGCCAGTGGCACCTTCCRGCCTCTGCAGGCTGAGCAGTTAAATACATCAGCCTCGAGTGGAGTCAACCTTGCAGCTGAAGCAAGTGGAGAATTCTGTCTGCTGAGCTGCAGCACTTACAGCAAAACAATTCTAAGGCTTCCTGAGTACTCCCCCAGGGAAAGCCATTTATGAAAGATGAGATAAATTTACCAAAAGTAAGATGTTAATGTGGCCATGTTTAAAGCATCTGATTCTAGGCTCCAATTCTGCTGGAATCTCAGAGAGAACAGGCAGATCTTGGGGAGCACTGCAGAAGGATTACAGTGACCTTCTGTGCTGGCCATCCAAACTGGTTGGAAGAGTGGATCTGGACCTTGTCCCTGAGGACTGCTCCACCTCTGTAAGTTTCAGCAGTGCTGGCAGACCTGACCCTACAGCCTGCACAGGGGACACAACAGATGGGTACTCCAGGTGTCCAGAGCCASCAGATATCAGCAGCTGCACATACTGACCCTATCTGTGCCCAAATCAGGGTGGTCCAACACACACCTTGCACAGAGTGAGGCTGAACTCCTCTTCCTCTGTATGAGCTTTTGAGCTACTTATTCTTTGCTGTGGTCTTTGCGTGCCAGAACCACCCAATAAAGGGACTGAATTACTACAAAAATCATAATCCGATTCAAAATGGCAGTTATTACCTTTCTGGGTGATTATCTGCCACCAAAGTTCTGCTGGTCTTTGAAAGCTGGTGCACAGTTTCAGCATAATCTTCTACAGCYTGTTCCAAAATCTGGTGTTTCTTTAGCATGGACACTGCACTCTGTTCATCCTGTAAGTGTGGCAGAAAATGACAGGAAGAATTATAAGGAGCAGCTCCCAAAACCAGCTTGAAGACAATGGTATAGAACAGTTCTGCCAATGGTATAGAACAGTTTGTGTCACAGCAAATGTTATCCCCAGAAAGCAAAATAATGAGTGAAAGAGAGAACGCAACAACCCCTCTGGGGCTGTTGAACAAAATTACATCAGCTGTGCATCGAGCATGTCGAGTTTCCTCTTCTATGAAGATTTTTGTGTGTTTCCACAACACTCGTACAGGGCTCAGAAATATGGAACAGTTTTAGACATGCCACTTGTCAGGCATCTCAATGACAGCATGGGGCAAAGAAAAGAAATCCTACAYAGCCTATGCCAATGGAGTCACCACRAAAGTGCCTGGAAAAGCTCCAATGAAAACTTCTTATGCTCTGTTACAGCTAAGAAAAACAGCCCCCAACTCTTCAGTGTTAATTGATATTGTCAGTAAATCTTTTCAATACAATATTTTTTGCAGTGAACTATCTGCAGTAGATAAAAAAAAAAAAACAAGCCATTTTTAACTGGAGACTGAACACCCCTGGAATGTATTCTCCTGATACAGAGCTGAGCTTTATTTTACCAGGATAGTGAACCTGGCACATTTATAACAAATAAGCTCCAGCACAAACASCTCCTTGGAAAACAGGAGTTCACATTCTCTTTGGTATGGTCTGAAACTGGGARTCAAAGCTGATGGTTATTGGGAATCAAAGCTGGTGACAGTGGTAGCAGCTGACTGACCATCAGGCCCTGTTTCACAGTCAGGTGCATTGTGSTGGCATACAAAACTAACAGAAAACTGGACCACGCTGGCAATCCTGACCTTGCAGTGAAGGCAGGCACAGAGTTGCCCTCTGCAGTGTGAAGATGCTTCCCTGGCTCCACACAGGACAGTCTATCCTCCACACTACCAGAGATGTCAGAACAGATAGAAGCCATGATCACTTGAGGCTTCACCAGGCAGTTAAACTTGTTGATGTTACCATTCCATAGAGCCACATGAAATTATGCCACCTGCCTCCCTCCAGTGAAGCAGTTAAACCCAAAGTAGTGTCACTGTGGAGCTGCTCACCTTGGCTTTCTCTTCTGACATCATGTAGAGCTCCTGCTCACTCATCCAGGCCTCAGCCTCAGCTGCATCRAAGTAATACTGCTGAGCTCTGTGAGACTCCTCCAGGCGCTTGTGGCGCTTCTCCGTCTCCTCAATGAGGAGGTTCCACAGCTGCTTCAAGTCTGAAAGTCTCTGCTGAATGACTTCAGCATTGGGGCTGCTCTCRGTTATAATGTTCTGACTCCTCTCAAAAATGTCATCAATACGAGGCTGGTGGCCCTGGATTTCTTTCTGAAGAGTCTACACAGGAAAAAATTGAYTGATGAGACAATGCACAAATGAAAAGAAAATGCAGGTCAAGGGTCTTAACTCCAGAAGGGCAGCAAAACACACACCATGAGCTTGAGTGGACAACCTGGGGCTGTGCCACCCCCTGTTGTCACACCACAGCACCCACTGTTTTATCCRAAACCTTTCCTTTCCAAATTAGTCTGCACTAAGGAGAAATAGCAAGTACGGAGCTGTAACAACACCTATTTACCTGATTCTTCTTTATTAGTAGCTGCACAGTCTGGAGGTTGTGTCCATGATCAGTAGATGTAGCAATGGGCATCCTCTCTCCAACCCACAACTGAAAGAGAGAGAAGAGTACACATAATTTCAAGCAACATCAGATAGAGTTGTGGCAGCAGAGAGAGGTYGGGGCACATGAACTGCAGGAAGCAGCAGCATTCCAACATTTTCCTACTGGCTGGGAAACGGGATTGCTTTGATACTCACAATTTCATCTTCCACATCCCGGTTGAACTGGTGGATCTCTTTGGAGGCCAGCAGGTTGGCCTTTCTCTCATTCAAAGGCTCCAGCAACTCCAAGAATTTCTTTTCTACAGTAAGGCGTTTGCCATCGACTTCATCTGTGCTCTTGCCCTCTTGACTCAAAGCCCTTGCCTGGCTTTGCAGCTCCTCTATCTCCTTCTTACGGACATCCATTTGATTCTCCAGCATCTAAACAGAAACATGCCAAAAAGGTCCTGAAAACTGGGGTAAAAGCAGTTGATAGGATTAGRGCACATCAATAACTTCCTCAGAAGGGAGAACAGATGCTGGTTAGGGAGGATTTATCATGTTAATAATTACTGTCTGATTTGTTGCTGGATATATTTCTTGTTCTTCTTAAAGATACTTGAAAGAATTAGAAGAAAGAAAAGCAGTTTTTTTCTTTTCTAAACTGGAAGCCTGCCCTGCCTATTTCTTTGAGTGCAGCTATCTGCTGTCTTCCCACTGCACCCCATAAYCTGTTTACCTGCTGCTTCTTCAACAGGATGTTGACACTGGTGAGATCTTTCCCGTAGTCATCTGACTGGATTTGGCTCTCCAAACCATTCAGCCACTTATCCAGGTCTGCACAGCTCTGGGTGAAAAGCTCTGCCTTGTTTGCATCGAAGAGACGCTGAGCCTTGGTCTGGGTGGTGGATTCAAGCTCGTCCCACATTTGGTGGAGACCTGTCAGCTTCTCCTTCACCACGGCCTCGGTCTCTGGTTTCTCTGCAATGAGCTGCATTCCCTCCTGCAAAGCAAAGAGCAACCAAATGATACCTCCTCAGGRGCACTCACAGCCCGTTAGGGCAATTATCCTGATTAATAAGCACTCAGGATTCCTCATCTGCTGGCAGCATCAACCACTCATTTTCTATCTCCAATTATCCAGTGACTCCTTCCAGAACATCAGCTCCCAGGTCCCTCTGCTGCCTGGAAGCTGCAATGGGAAGGAAAAGCAATGCCTTCTTTCTCTTCTCCATTGCACATGTTCCCTGAAGGGAGCTCCTGGGCTGTGGCTCAGGCCAGATGGAGCAGGGAGCTCCACACACTGAGTCTCCTGAGGCCCCAGCTCCTGGGGGCCACATCACTGGAGAGCCATGAACACACAGCATAATGCTGGGAGAGTTTGGGAAATATTGTCTTTATTCTAATTACCCCCTATCTCTGCACCTGGGTGCAGATGGGAATGCTGTTCCCTGCCTAGCACATTCCATATGAATGTTAAATCAGGGACTGTCACAACTCCGTACACAATCTTGGTCCTTTGCTGCAATCTGATTTTTCAGAGGCAAATGAGGATATATCAGCATCACTAAAAAGGAACTTCCAGTCCTAAGAGCAGCCTTCTAATTACACCATTAAAGGGTATTGCTATTTGTAGATCACAGAAAAGCCTCTAATGGGATATGGAGTGCAAAGTGGGAGAGGAAATGGGCAATTAAGCTAACTTACACTGAACAGAAACCCACTGTCAGAGCTAAAGAGGAGACTCCTCAGTGCTCCAGAGCTGCACAGGAGAAACTGSGGGGCAAGTACAGCTCATCGCAGTGTATTAAGACTTCAAAGTACTTGATACAGAGCTGTGAATCTTAATTAATCACAAAACTGGATGTTMTTTACCTCATGCCTGAATTTTGCATGGGGAAAGGCAGCTTGGTTATTGTCCAGAATGAATGAAAACCAGCTTAACTGCACCGGAGAATAAACTCAGCTATTCCCTCCCTATATTSTGTTATTTCCCAGGAAGCGCTTCTACTTCATTGGCTCAAATGCCAACATTTCCCCCATTTACCCTYTGGGTATCGAATTTAGACTATGTTTTCTCCTGGCAGATACGAAAGACTAGACAAATCTAAATTGGCACCTTGGCCAACAACTAGTCTGTGAGAATGTATTGAATAAAAAACATTTAATAACAGTGAGGAACRAAATGGGCTAGATGAGACACAATGCACTAGAAATCTCCTTTAGCATCAACTCTGGGATAATTYAAGGACCAGTTCTTAGCAGAAAGCAGATCCCATCTTGATGCATGACTTCCCTGGACAAAGATAAGGGCATTTTGGGATGTTCTTTACTTACCTTTTCAATCTTCTCCAGCCACTCTTTGTTGGATGCAAGYTCTGCCATGAATGCCTGGTGCTTCAGCCACTTGCTGTGCAGGTTCCTCGCCTCATCATAGGACATATCCTGGGCTGTGAGCATCTTCTCATTGATCCAGAGGGAGAGCTGCAAAGGAAAATACATGGAGGTGTGAGGAAACATTCCTGGTGTGAAATAATGCAAAATGCCTCCAGATCAAGTATAAAGAGATGCCTCTACAGAAGAGCTATGTGAGATTCAGAGACAACTATTACTCAGGGATTTACTCAGGGTTCAGTCAAGCATCTGCCTCTTTAACAGTTTAATTCAAACATCCATCTCCAAMAAATAAATAACCCATGATTCAAGCAAAAAGGAATCACCTCTGTGATAAGCAAAAYCAAACACACAGGTTTCACCCAGTTCAACAGCAAGAGAAACAGGGACACATCTCCTACTTATTGGTCAGACAGTTTTGCARAAATTGGTAGAGATGGTTTTGTACCATTAATTCACACCACATTTGTACCTTTTCCCCTCAGTCTTTTCTATGTATAGGTTTACATAAGTAATTTGTTTATTTGTCCAATCACTAGGAGTGTTTTGGTACTGGAGACTTTCCTTTTCCCATTACATAAAATCCAAGACGATTTTCTTTCTGATTTTCAGCAAATAGAAARGCACTGGGGACAATTTCCATAACACCATTAGAGAAAACCGATACTTTCAGAGACAGTTGATTTGCCAAAGGCAAATGGAATGTGAAAATGATCCTAGCAGCCAACATCACATTTCCTCCTAGGGTGAGTCTGACTGCTTCATGTATCCCTGAGGTGTGGATAAAAACCACATTCACAGGAATGTTTATAGAATTTGAAAAGGTTCATTTTCTGTATATTTAGAGTGGAAAATGTCAAAACAAATCTCAGCTTGGTTTCTAGAACAGCACTTCCRTGAGCAAGCAGCCCAAAAAGAAGAGGAACAGAGGACTCTGTTGTGTGCTCAGGACACAGGGCAACAAATTCCATTAAGCACTCATGAGCCTCTCTTCAATTGCCCCTTAAAATTTCAATTGTCCCTTAAAAACACYTTTCCACAAAAAGGGAAAACTTATGAGAGCAATCAGAGAAACTCCTCATTGGATCTTCTCATCAAGTCTAAACAGAAAAATGCTCGTGTTAGTGAAGAGTTCTGCAGGCAAAAGTTTACATTAGAAGAGGCTACTGTGCTGCTGAACAATCAAAGGCTACATGGAGGATTAGGATATAACCCAGAATTAGTGGTTTTACTCCTGCCTTTCTGGGGAGCAGACAGCTGCTCTGCTCTGCAAATTGCACTGCTTGGCTTTCACTGTTTGCTTTTACTGAGCCACAGCATTAAGGCTTCTGGGGATTTAAAAGTGCTTCCCAAGGAGAGGCTGGATCGTTCCTGTTAGCAGCTGGGGGTAGGCAAGACAGGGACAACATGTGGTTCACAGACAGGGCCTGTCAGGATAAACCCCTCAGAGCACAGAAATGCAGAGAAAGTATTTAAAGGCTCACTGCTAAAATCTGGGGTTTGCAAACGCTACTGGCACTAGAAGTCAGTACCTTGAGTGCAAAAGTAGATTTTCAGAAAATAATACAGCTCCCTATATTGCCTCAGATTGACACTTGGAATATTTATTTCTCCAGAAGTTGTTAAGGCCARAAGAGGATGAGGCTTCCTCCCATTCTTTGCACTTGTACACAACATCTTGTTCCTGCTCTTGGCTCCCACTCTGCAGTGCCAACCCAGCATGAAGGAAAAGAAATGCAGAGACAAATCCTYGTGAGCCTGAGAGAGCAAGGAAGGCAAAGACAAAAGGCTCTGAGTGCTGCTGCACTTTCCAGGCTCTGCCAGGAGCCAAGTTGACACCACCCATCCTGCAGGGAGGATCACATGGYAAATCCTGACAGCGCACTCCGGGAGAGAAACTTTGGAGTGCAGAGCCTTGCCAAGAGCTTTCACCACATCCCTGGAGAAATGAGCCCAGATGGTGCTGGGATTTCCAAGCACCAAAGGGAAGGTCAGCTGTAAACTACTTGAAGGTGAGCTGAGAAAGAGTAGGAAATCAAAGAAAAGAAAATGGCAACATTTATCACATCTTCTCCACTCAGGATTTTTTGTTGTCGCTGTTTCATTTGCTCTGCTAATTTATTTTACATGTTCATAYTGATGAACAAAAAGGAGTGCCCTGGACTTACCTGTGACAGTGTTTCTGACTCCTCACAACAACAAAATCTGCTGTTTTCCCTCACCTGTGACCTCAGAGTGAGGGTTTACCACTGCTGAGCTGCTGTGAGGAGCATTATCCCACTGCTTCAGAGTGCCACTGACCCTGCTCACTGTCTCTGCAGGAAGGAGTGAGGGGCAGGAGGCCACACTCACACCACCACCTCAGCACCAGGTGACAATGATAATGGGGCTGCCCTGGGAAGGACAGGCTGCAGAAAACACCGTGCCTTTCCTCAAGTTACACATAGATGGGAAATCGTCCCTAAGGAAGCGGCAGGCAGGAAGGCCAAAGGATCATTGCCAGGTGAAACGGGTTCTGACTCAAAGCTGTTCCCTTACAATTCCCAGCTTCACAGGCTGTGCTAAGGAAAAAGCCAAGAGGGAGGTGTTGCCTTGGCTCCCTTCCACCCCCACAGGACAGTGGTGCTTCATCACTGCTCCAACACAAACCCTCCAGCCTAATGGAGGTGTTAGCAGTCCCCACACTGATGTAAATTTGAAGTTTTCTCAGGAAACATCTCTTCCTGAGAGGTTAAAGTCCTCTCAAAGAGGACTGGAGAAACCCCTGACATTTGGGTAATTGTGAGTTTGTCTTTGAACTGTGCAGTCGAGACATCCATGTTTTAGTGTCTGGAGAGAAACAACGGAGAGGAAAGGCATTAAGGCAGCCAACACTAGAGCTTTTATGCTTTCCTTTTTGTTCCAGTGATATAGGGGAAAARCTGCTCCTAGGGAACACACCCACACTGACACTGAGGCCAGGAGTGCCCTGAGAGTCAAGGGATCTTTGTACCAGAGCTGTCACAGAGGAAGGAAGAAGCTGCTGCTAATAGCAGAATTTTTGCTAACCTGTCATGTTTTAAGATTGCTCAAGGAAGGAGCAATTGAAAGCAAGCTCATGGACAGTTTATGCAATGCTGGGAAACAAATTGAATCTAGGCAACTAARCAGCAAACACTCCTTACCCAGTTAATGATTAAAACTCACAGACAAAACTCTTTAATGTCTTCCAGTACTCCATTAAATAACCTGAAAATTACTTCATTAATTCCTTGTGCTATTCCAAACTTTAAAATATTGTCTTCAGTGTAAACAGCCTATTCAAGYGATCAAAAATCTGGAAATAATTTCTTTTTTTTCAAATGTTACAATACTTAACAATTTTAAACACATGCAAACTATCAGGTAAATCACACATTATAAATSATCCAGCTTAATCTTGCTCCTTTCTTATTCTTAAACTCTTACTTTTCTAACTAATGTTTGCTTGAAATSACTTGAAATCCCCAGCACCATGCCACATACATCTGTATAGCTGTAGACAAAACTCTTAATAAGTGCACTGCTAATCCCACCACATTCCATATGGTTGTAATTTATACCACAGTAGAAAATCTTCACTGCTTTTGCCAATTTTCTATGCCTTCAGCTGATATGAAAAAGAAAATTCAGTTCATGAGAAAAGAATAAAATAAACATTCATTTTTGCAGTGGTTTGGGCAGGGGATTTTTAATGTTTACTTCRCACTAAATACTAGTGGATGACTGAGCATTCCAGTTCTCATAAAACATGGAGTAAGAATGCTCTTCTACAGGATGTAGCTTCCAGCAATAAAAGTGAAAGGGCATGATTTACCTCTTGGCAATCCTGAAGAAACTTTTGGAGATCCCTGTTATCTTTCAGTCTCATCAAAAGTTCACTGGCTGCTTCACGGTTCTTCCTATGTCTGGTCAGGAAAAAAAACAACAGAGAAAGGAAATTAAACAGTCATTTCATGAAAAACTGATGGTCACTGTTGGTTTCTGGAGCTTCTTTGGACTACAGGTGCAGATAAGTTTGTGGAGTGTGTCCTTTGCTGCCTTTCAAAGGGCATTTTGGAGTGTGTTATTTAATGGGCTCATTGAAGTTCAACATCTCCTTGTTTTTGTGACCCATTGAATACACAGAGAAAATTCTAAAGTCAGCAGGGCTTCACAATGTGTTATGGACAGAATCAGGCCCACTCATTTCAATCCCACAGGAGAGTTCAGGCTGTTTGCCAAAAAAACATAAGAGAACGGAAAATTGCAACAGTAAGATGATGCTGTATGGCCCTTGCAGAGCRCACCTGCTGTAATGTTCTTTGTAAAACACTTTCAGTACCTCCTTGTCCTGCACAAACCTGAGCTGGGCTACAGAACCTTCCCAAGGCTGTCTTTAACCACATGCAGCAYCCCTGTGTGATTCTGCAAACAGAAGCTTTATGTACTTAGAACATATTTTTCAGAATGTTTAAGAGCAGCCAGAAGAGAAGGGAAGGTTAATACAGAAGCCTTAATTTGATTCATCACTGTTTGCCCCTTGAAGGATGAATCACACTGGCAATCCCAGAGGTTGTGGTGGGTTCTTCAAATAGAATGGGGCTGATTCCCAAGGTACCTCTGGGCATGCTTTTTAAAATGCTTATCTGGAGTAGTTATCCCTGTCCTTCCATCATTTCATTATTTATGAGGCAATTTATGTGGAAGAGACAGAGTAAAGAAGATGATTTTTATTTACTGCTCATTGTGTTAGGCTTGCTCCCATYGCACTGTACAGGGATTTAAAGTGAAATATTGCTGCCATTTGTAATAAGACAAAGAACGGMTTAAGAGTTGGAAATTATTTTAAAGGGCGGCAATTTATAAGATGAGCTCAGCACTTGCTGGCAAAAGCTAAACAAATCCATGTTAGTGGACATCTCCAGAGACTCGTGATACTCCAGAAGACCATAAATTACCTGTTGATGACAACTGGATTATGATACCACTTTTCCGGATCTGCAATAAGTTACCACAAGCTCTCTGGCACCAATTTAGTGATTTCAGGAACAGAAGGATTACCCAGATATATATTTTCTATAAAAGTAAAAAGTCTGTAGGCAGAGGAATAGGAGAAAACCCCTTACAGGACCACAGTTTKCTTCTCTTTGGTCTCAAGACCTGCCTCCAAACAACAAGGCAAGCAGCATCTCTATAGCTGTAGATCAAGAAAATTGATTTACAAACAGATGGCAAGGAAGACACATAGAATCATCAAAGCMAGCCTGGAGTTCAAGCCCAAGTGAGCCTGAAGTTTTCATAGAAGGAAYACAAAGGAAAAGACACAAACTGTGCCTTAGGAGAAATCTCTCTAATGAAGCAAACATCCCTGGGTTTGGTTTCTTTCTTGGCTGGCTTTTATATGCTTGGGCAAACACAGCGCATTACTCAGGTTGTTAAAATGAAGCAGAGAGATGCTTGGGTGATTTTATCATGCTGATTTCAGAGATTTAAGGCTAGATTACATTACAGACTCACGTATGCTGAAAAGGACACAAGTTATGAAGTTAAAAGGAGAACTTCCATGGCACTTGAATAGATTTAAGATTAAGTACAGAAGTTCTTACGTTGAGAAAACCTGAGTTTAAAARAACAATAAAAATATCTTCCATGGAGTGTTAGAAATGCTGACTGGAAGGACTTTGAAGGAACCCATGCAGGGATATCAAATAGATGACGCCATAACGTAACAAATATGACCTTTGGTGCTTAGAGCTATGTAAGTGTAAAAGGTTGTTTTGTTTAAGATGACCTGGAGCAAGACTGGACAAYGAGTTTTCTCTGAAGATTAGGGCTGAACCATAACAAGGTAGAAGCATTTTGAGGATGGGCACTGCTGGAACAGACAGGAATTCCTGTGTTTTCATCATTGACGTGYTTTTATGGGAATAAAGGACTTTAAGAAGTTATTTAGTCTGTTCTGCTCCAGACTGRCTGTACCTAAATATTATTAACTCCTTGTTCAAATTTCCCTAAATTCTTTAAAAGAATTCACACTTAAGGTTGTCAATGACTGCTTCTTACTAATTTGCTRAACAGTTTGTGGAAGAACAACAGTTTGCTCTGCAAACTCCAGTTATTTAGAATGAATGACCTTGAATTATATACCACACCAATGATTTACTCCCCAAGTGTAAGATCTGTTCGGCACAAGGAAGTATCTCACACAAATTACTCCAGAATCTGCCCAGTATCCCCATGCTGACTCCCAGAGGTCCCTGAGAATGCAGAAAGTGCTAAAAACTGACAAAACCACTTGTGGTTTAACTGTAAGCCTGTGGGTTTCAAAGCCTGCAGAGAAATAATAAATCTTACACGTAGTGTGAATGCAGCTGCCTGCGAGGAATCCTGAGATATATGAAAGACAGTTTTAGCTTCTTTCATTGCTCCAGCAAATGAGGCACTCTCCCTTCTGAAYGGGCAAGAACAAAACTTATTTCTGTTCTCTGAGCAGAAAGTTGCACAAATACAAAAGTTGATGTAAAACAGGCTCAGATCACAACTTGTGCCAGATCTGCCACTGTCTTTAGACTAAATCTCCCTTGGAGAATCAGAGGCTATGATCATGGGCTGGGGCAACCCCCCCAACACTCTTTCAAGAGAAAATGGAGGAGAATATGCTTCAGAGCAGCAGAAGCCATCCAGGCAGGAACAGCTGCACCAGAAAAACTAGCTTCTTTCCAGCTAGAAAAGCTAGTTAGTGATAGCTTGATTCAAAATCATCTTCTCCTTCCCTCACACTTACTCCATGTCCTTATTCCCATTCATTCTTGCCTGTGAAGTGCACTAAAAGGTTGTGCTGAAGTGTTTCTTTCCTATCACACTTTCCTCCCCCTTGTGCCACCCCTAACTGAGATAGGAACCATCCCAGGACAGGGTCTGTCTGCTGCACCAGTGGGGTCACCTCAGGAACAGCTTGAAAGCACAACTGCAAAACCCACTCTGAACAATACCAGAAACTACAAAGAGCTCCCTATGGGAAGTATGGAGCCACTGCGCATATTTGTGCTTGTTTGTTTTGGTCCTTTGTTAGACATCCAGGTGGAGCTCGGCTGGGAGAGYCACTTTTTGTGAAAGCAAAGAGGCTTCCTTTGCTACCCCAAGGCTTTGTTCTGGAGGCTTATCAGCCCCACAGACTCGGGGAGCAATCACACGGATTTCCTGGATAGCAGCGCACCGGATGGTTTTTGCGCTCGGCAGAAATAGCTTTAGAATTGAGGAAATGCTACTGTTCCAGTAGGAACTTCAGCACACGTCCCTCGGGCAGGACTGCGGGGACAACRGGGCACAGAGGAGCAGCTGCACTGGAGTGACAGTCACCAGAGTCTCTGCAGAGCACACAATAAAGGCTGAAGCTGTCTCCTAGTCCAGCAACCTCAGACAGGGCTGCAAGAAGCAGCTGACCATTGCTATGATATCCTTGGATGCTTTAATATTCCAAAAGCTGCAGAAAGAAGACACCTCACCAGAAGGCTGGGATCAAGCTCTCCTGCTTTTCTAAACAGATGGGAAAACTTASAGTAGAGGACCCTCAGAGAGGGTAAATAAGGAAAATCACTGTCCTAGATGTTCCCTTGATTGCTTTCATGTAATCTCCTCTTCCTGGTCTTTGCAGATTTTCTYGGGGATCTAGAGCCAAGCTACTGAGAGAGAGAATAGAAAAGTGGGGTGCCCTGAGGGTTGAGCTGTCAGAGGMCCTCAGCAAGCTCTGGAAACAGGAATAACTGCCTTTCCTGAAGCCATTAGGCATGGCTAAAGTGTGTGCACACTCMGTGGGACATATTTGCCAGAACAGGGAAGGCGCAACGTTTTCTGTACTRTTCCAGTTCTGTTTCTCCTTGGAGATGAAGGAACCTGGAGAACTCTGAGCTTACCAGCTGTGGGGGGACACAGGTTTGATGGGAGGGTCATCAGTAACATCTCACAGCTCACCGCTGTGTTCTGACACTCACAGAGCCTTGGAAGATTCCACGGTTATCCAAGCCAAAAGCAGAAAGAACCACAGCCATCAAAACTGAACATTTGGGTTTCAAAGAAAAGAAGCTTTTAATGTTCTGTAGCATCCGTGCCACAGCCAGAGAGAGAAAGCAAAGGACTTGTTCTGGGATGAAAGACACACTCGTACCAGTGCTGTCTAATCTGATCTCAGAGGGGCCAGACAAGTTGGAAGAGGCRATCAAAGGCAAGCGGGTGGGGTGGATGCAATGCCAATGACACCTTTGAAGAGCCACATTCCTTCTCCAGAGGAAGGACAGGAATACATTATTGTAATCACACCAGCTYGGGGGCAACAGAGGAAACTGAGACCTGTGGAACCAGACACAGCCAACTGCTACAGCTCCCACCAGAGCATCAARTCTGCTCATACTTGGAGTACATGGCAACACTCAAACAGCCAAATTCTGGGTAGGGAGCTCATTACCTACCAAGCCTCTACAAAGTGGGAGAGCGATTATTTAACTAAGATTAGCTTGGCACATTCTTGAAACATGACAGTTCCTGTTTTTTCACAAGAGAAAGAATACAGTCTGGAACAGAATTTTCTAAGCTGTAACTTTGCCTTTGAATCATGGTAAAGGGCATCTCTCAGAGACCAGAATTAAAGCATGAATATCTACACTTTGCCGTCATTCTGCCCTTACCTGTCATCAATGGAGTCCACTTTCTCCTGGATTTTGTCAGAGTTAATGTTCCCATCACTAACGAGCCTCCTGCCTGTCTCCACAACTGCATTGATCTTTTCTTCATTGGCATCCATTGTGGTCATGAAATCCTCCTGCTTTTTAATAGCAGCTTCTGCTCCTTCCAAGGTAGTGGGCATTTCTGTGTGTGCCAGAACGTATTCCTGGAATTAAAGAAATCAGAGAGAGAAAAGTGTTACACTCGAGCTGTACTGCTGCTCCAACAACAGACATCTCCCAAGAACAGTCTGAACTAAAATACAGTTCGAAAAGGGCAATTTATCTATTTGTAGCACTCCTGTCAATAGATTTTGTCTGTTAATTGCTTGCAGTACAGTGTCAGCTTGTAGAAATGAAGTCAGGTATATCTTGACCACTTGCCTGGTTATTAAGGAAAGCTTCTGCTTGCTTGGTATCTCTGAGAAACAGCTGGTAGGCATGAGACTGGGAAAGGAGATTTTGCCTGTTCTCCCACATTTTGTGAAGCTCATTCCATCCAGTGTCCAAAGCCTGTAGGCGCTGGCGTAGGAACATGTACTGAGCGTCGGTTTGCCCTTGTGTCACCATCTCACCCATGTCCCTCATCTTCTGATAATCTTCCTCGTAGTTGTTGATTTCATTCTTGATATTCTCGTGCTGAGTGAGCAGCTTCTCAGCCTCTGTCAGGGTGTTGGGCATATCTTCGGAGGCGATTGCAGTCTGTGTTCTGGAGAGCCAGGACTGGAAGTCGTCCAGATCTCTCAGGAACTGCTGCAGCTTGCTGGCCTCTCCCAGGGACTCTTCCCGGTTCTTCAGGGTGGTCTTCATTTCTTCCCAGACGTCATTGATCTCTGCAAGCCGTGAAAGGATGGCTTGTGCCTGGTCAGGATGCTCTGATTCCAGCTTCTCTGCCTCCTTCTGCAGGTCACTGAGTTTGGCTTCGATGGCCACCAGGTCCCGTTCCATGCCTGTCAGCTTCCTCTGCAGGGCCATCACTCCAGCCAGGTCATTACCCAGGTCTTGTGTGGATTCAATCACTTTGGTCTTTTCCCTGATCCAGGATTTGGTTTCATTACATTCAAGATGGTAGTTCTGGATACTCAGAGCAGAGAGCAGAGCATCCTTCTTCCTATCTACCAGTTCTCTGAACTGGCTCCACCTGAAACATGTGAAGAGAGGAGAGCAGAGAAATTGAGATTTGTGGGAGAAGGGTATTGGCAGCATTGCTGAGTGAGCAGCTGCTCTCACCAACTTGGTAAACCCTGCTCTAACCCAGCTGCTCAGGGTTTTCTCACTCCTTCCCACACCATGAGTATTTCTAGCAATGCAACCATTAACCCAGCTATGGTGTGTACTAGAATGTGTCAAGTACCAGYACACTAAGTATAATTTTTCTTCAAGTGAAAAAGTGCCAGTTACATCAACTTTTCACACTCTCTTGGTATATTCTGAAACCAAAAAATGAGGAAGTTTACATGAAACTATATTGATTTCTTTTTTATCAGAATAATCATTGCAATCAATTTCTAGCTTTCAAATCAAAGTACTGACACATTCAGGGCCTGATTAAGTCAGAAGCAAAACTCTATCTGTTAATCAACATTTGAAAGGCGCAGCTCTTTCCTTTTGAAGCTTTGAAGGCCTACCTTGAAGATACTCCAGGTAACAGCATCAGAATATCTTAAAAAAGCATACCTAAGGATCACAAATAACCCCACCATACTTGTTCCACCTGGTGTGATGTTTCTGAGCATGAGGCTTTCACTTACCTTGTGTTGAGTCTGTCTTGCTGTGCTTTGATCTTCTCACCAGGGTGGCCACTGTGCATCAGCTGCCTGGCAATCTGGTTCACCACAGCCACGCGAGACGCCTGGTTGTTCATTTCTGGCTCTAARCTTTCAAACCTGGAGTGGGGGAAAACAAACAAACATAAGATCCCCAGGCATTAGAGAATCTGAGCCACAGGCAAGCTGAGAAAGGTAGCTGGGGTAAAAAAAWTTCCACCCAGTATTCCCCAAACTTCCTGGTAAAGGTGTTCTCACCTGTGCTGGATCACTTCCAGGTCCTCCAGCTTCTCTGGAATCTGCATGTTGTTCAACCACTTCTCCTTTTCGTCGATCCAAAGCTCACAAGCATCTGCCTCACTGAACATCTTATACAGAGCAAGAGTATCCTGCAGGGCCTGTTTACGCAGCCGGGTCAGCTCAGCAACCTCTTTGTATCTCTCCTCAATTCCAGACAACCTGCCTTGGACATCTGGAGACCCCGCATGCTCCTGTGGCAGGGCCTTGGCCTGCTCATGAAGAGAGTCGATGGTCGGCCGGTAGCTCGCAATCTCCTCAGACACATCTTTGTGTTTCTTGACCAAGGACTGAGTGGAATATTCATCATGGCCAACATCATTGCTGGARACAATCTTGAGGATGTCCAACATCCATGCATCAATATCGTCAGCATCAGCCTGGAACTGGTGAAGGAGAGAGGCTTCTTCCAGCCGCTTCTTCCTAATGGCAGATAACTGCTCCAGGTTAGCCCACTGCTCCCGGATATCCTTAATTCTTTCTCTGATCTTCTCAGACCCAAAATGCTCTTCCGCAATCATGTCTTCACCTTCTTTTATCGCCTGCTGAAAGTGGCCACTGCGGCCACTCATCTCGTCCTCAAACGCCTTGTGTTTACTCAAGAGTCGGACGACACTGGTTAGATCCTTGCCATAGTCATCAGATGACAGGATCTGCTCCTTCTCCCTGATCCAGCCCTCCTCTTCAGCCATTTCCCAGAAGAATTTCCAGAGGCGCCGGGACTCCTCAAGGCGTGCGCGGCGCTCAGCTGCGAGCTGGCAGAGCTCCTGGTAGCAGAACTCCATGTGAGCCACACGGTCCCTGATCACCTGCGGGTCACAGGGCTTGTAACCTGCTGGGACAGAGAATGTGTGTTACCACCTGAGATGGGCTCACTCACTCCCATCCCCACAGTGGGGGCATACATGGAGCTCTGAATTCTTGCTTGTTCCAGCTACAAAGTTTACGTGAAAGAATCCATAGTTAGTCTCAGGAAAGTGAGTGGGAAGTGTTCAAGCTCCACCACACAATAACACAGATCAGAAAATAGTATTCTTTCCAAAAGACAAAAAAAAAAAAAAAAGAAAGGAAAGATATTCATGACTGTTTCCAGGGAGACAAAATTCACTGAATTCAGATTTATAGACAACTGCACAAAATGGACGTAATTTACTCTGGTTAACAGCACTAGGATCTAGGGAACTGCTTCCTTTTAGGATAAATTGGGACACCAGATGGGATCCAACAATCTTGCTTTAGAAACACAGCATGGGGAACCATGGTGACCTCTACAAAGCCACAGCAGCTGCTAGTGAGGAGTGCAACATCCCATGCAAGGCACAATGCCACACTCAAATTCCTGAGTAGGTTCCTGGACAAATGAATCCCTGACATACTGAGTACTGAAGGAACAAATGGAGCTGGATTCTCTTATTCCAGTGGGGAATTTCAGCAAACCTATCTTGCAGAATGACTGAGTCTCACAGACAACCTAATATGTAATTAAGATGAAAGGGGTGTGTCGGGTGCTGGTTACCTTCTCCATCGGTGGCAAACTTCTGAGCAGAGGCATTGACCCCTCTCACTCTCTCAGCCTGAATAGCAATGTCAGCTTCCACCAGAGCATGTTTCTGCAGCAGGTCTTCAACTCCCAACAAATGTTTGCCATAGTCTTGGGATAGCAGAAGCACCTTAACAAAATGAAAAAGACAACTATGATGGGCTGATGGTCATAAGCTGCTCGTTTCTTTGGGACTCCAGGCATGGCATTGTTCTCAAAGAAACTCCAGGCCCATAAAAACAGCAATTGTACAAACAATGTAGAGACATGGCTGATAGGCATTTGAGCCAGTATTTTTGAAATCACTGGCARCCATTAAGAACTTGACTGCTGTTTAATGAGTTTTCAGTCTAGGATGCTGAGAGGCTGAGTTAGCTCAGCAGATCCAAGGAGCAGCACCCAGCCCAGGTGCTGTGAGCTGCTGCTGAACTACACACAGCTTTCTTTCCCYTAACAGCTTCCAAGTTCTGTTGGCTGATGGATAAGTAAGTCACAGTCCTTTCCCTTCCCAGATCCCAGGAGAACAGGCAGGAAGAAATTCAAGCTTTTTAAAGCAGAGAGGCGAAGAGGTGACATGTTCCCCATGTAAATCATGATGGAGAGAGATTATTTAATTCCCTTTCACCAAATCTRTCATCTTTACCCAGGCACTGTGACCAAAATCTCTGGGCTTTATGAGACAGATATGAAGATGGAAAGTTGCTTTGTATAGTACTGAACTTGTTCTCTTTCCTTACTTGTTTTTAATCTTCATTGCTAACAAATAATCATACRGAATTTGTTCACTGCTCTTGAATGTGGATCTTCTGGGTCTGTCTATTGAATCAGAGGGGCTAAATAAATCTTAAAACTTGACAGAAAAGGACACGTAGACCTCTGAGGAGTATTTGGTCTGCGTTCTTAAAGGGCTTCCACCCACCTTCATCTCGTCCATCCAGTCCATAATGTACAGCATTTCCTGGAAAATCTTCTGCAGCCCAAGGTTCATCTCCAGCCGCTGTCTCCGTGCCCGGAGCAGCTCCAGGAGATACTCCCACAGGCGAATAACATTGTCCTTCCTTGCAGTGATGCGTTTGATGTCATGGTAGTTTTCAGTCTCGAGCTCCTTTGCCACCGCCACCACGGCCTGGACTCGCTCCTCGTATGCTGCGATGTCTGTCTCGATGGCCTCGTGCTTCTTTGTGGCAGCCTCCACTGCTGGGAGGTCAAAGCCAAAATTGTCCTGCAAACACAGAGGCACTTCTTCAGGAATGGCAGCTGAGGAGAAAAGCCCCACTGCTCAGCCTCTACTGTCAGTTCTGACTGTGCAAAACACACTTGTTAGCAAACCTGGGAACTCAAAATGCCCCCAAGAGTCTTCTTTAATAAAATAAGAGATACCTCTGATAATTAAAAAACAGTGATAAAATCAGAGATATTATTCACTGCCTTTGGGAGAAGAATTACGTGGCCATCAGGATTSGACTGGAGCTAATCTAATATTATCATCTCTAATATTAAACAACAAAATTAATTCCTGGGCTATTTTCACTGAACTCCCCAAAATATTCAGATAAAGAAAATCTTGACTGTGGGTAGTTATTTTTTCATCAAATCTCCTGACCACAGGCTGGTAGGTTCAAGGAAGGGAATCCCAAAYGTATAAAAGAGAGGATGTACAGTACATATACATATAGAGTAACTAAATACARTAAATAAATATACACATACATAGATTCAGTAAAATATGAGGCACAGGGGAGAAAATGTTCTCCTTGCAAGAAACTGCATCCTGCAATTACTCATGGGAACCATTTTAGTCACCCAGACAATTTCTGAGAGCAGCACCTGAGAAACGAGACGTTGATTTTCACTCAGCCAAGTTTCTCTCATAGCTGCCTTGCGATCGAATCTCCGTGCAAGTTGTTCCAGTTTCTCTTGTCTGATGAGCTCATTTCGCAGTGCCAGTTCTCTTTCATGTTCAGCTTTTTCCAGTCTTTCCCAGGCCTGAAGATGTGGAGGAAAAACACACGGCTTCTAAACACACATTCTTACAAGATTATGATAAATCCCATCTTCTTTGCATGAAATCAGGGCTGAAGTCACTGCAGGCAACTTACACTGAACTGGCTCAATTATTTATAAGCCAATAAATCCAGTTTGCACCGGCTGGCCCTACACCTTGTTTGCTAATATAAGCACATGACTTAAAATCTGTTCTCAACTTASTCATTTTATGAGCGAGTTGTTTATCTCAGATGCATTTTCTCTGGCTCTTTCTTACCTCTGCCCAACAAAGCCTAAGAAACTATTTGGCTTGAATGTGTAAGAAAGTGTTTGTTAAAAAAAAAAATAAATCATCTCTTGTATGTTACTCCCAAACAAGCAGATTCCATCTTCCTCCTTTAGGAAATGGGAATTAGAATTAGAGATTCATGGCCTTGCACCTCTAAAATCAACATACAATTTTTGTTCTTTATTACAATCACTTTGGAAAGAAGGCAACTGCTGACTTCAGTGCTTGTAAGGCTTTTCTTCCCCCTAGCCAGAAACTACTCATGTGCATGACACTAATATTACAAAAAAAATATTACAGAAATCAGAAGTCTTAAAAGCATGTTGGAAGTCAGCKAATCACCTTTCAGATCTTCTTACAGACAACAAAAATACCCTCAACTAAACACAAACTAAATCTTCTAAATCCGAACAGATGTGCAACTGCCTGAAACATTACAATTTTGGGCATTCCTCCATGCAACCAGGAGAGCTGAGCAGTTTGCTGCTCTCTGGGATGAGGCCACAGACACCCACAACAGCTGCTCAGGGAATGCCAAGCATGATCAAACACAAAGGAGGAAGCTGCCAGGCTGAAGCTGTTTGTTATCCTTGAGAGAGCTTGTCAGCTCTGCTGTGCCCAGCCCTGCCAGCTGCAGCAGCAGAGAACAGGCTGCAGGACCCCAGAGGGATCCATGATGCTCAGGCAGGGCACTGGGAGGTGAAGTGGAGGGCACAGCACCTACTGCTGCTGCCTTCTGTCACTTCTCTCCAACAGCCACGAGGGTCAAGGTAGAGCTGGCAACCCCAGGAGCATAAGCTCCTACAGATGCTGAGGACACTCAGGGCCTGGCCCAGGACAGYGAGTCTGAGCTATAGGAAAAGGTCACCCCACCTCACCCATCCCTTAAAGCCCCCACATCAAAGCTGGAGATCACGGRTGTTTTTCTTCCCAGTTTTCTGAGAGAAAACAGCAATATCCTAAATCACAGGGGAGGAGCTGCTCAGTTTACCTTGTTAATATCAGAGATGAGTTTGCCCTCCCTCGGCATGTACACTTTCTGATTGTTGGCTCTCATTTTGCTTTGAATGGTAAAAAGSAGCACTTCCAGGTTTCCTTTTTCTGTAAATCTAAACAAAATTTTGCAAGAGAATTGGGTTAAAATCAAGCTTTAATTGCTGCTAGGGTGTACTCACAGAATCACAGAGTGATAGAATGGTTTGGGTTGGAAAAGACTTTAAAGCYCATCCAATCCTACCCCCTGCCAGGACAGGGACACCTTCCACTATCCCAGGTTTCTCCCAGTCCTGTCCAACCTAGCCTTGGACACTTCCAGGGATGGGGMATCCACAGCTTCTCTGGGCAACCTGTGCCAGGGCCTCTCCACCCTCACAGGGAAGCACTTCTATAAAATATTGAATACAGGCAACTAYGATAAACTGTAATAAAGCACTAGTTTAAAATGTTGACACGACAAATGGAGCATTCACATAAACACCTCCATCTTGTGTGGAAACTGAGAGCAATGGAAATAGCCCACACTTCCCCTGGAGCTAGTTGGGGCAGACAGCAAAAGCAACTTCACAGAAGTCAGCTGTCTGARTGTTTGGATTTAAAGCCCTCGGGGGACAGGAAAAGGCTTTTTTTTTTTTTATTCTAGTATGTGCACTGTCCTAGTTTGCTCCATCAGCACAAGAAATGGAAGTTTTATTTAAAGTCACTGTAGTCAATAAACTCTTCCTACTATTTTCCCTGGGTTATATGCCTGGGAAATAAACAAACTCCATGGGCTTTAGGGAATAGTCTGCAATTTTAGAAGATGTCTGGATCCTGTGTAATGTTCTGGGTTGTGATTATTATCCATTAGAACTTGTATTAGACAAAAAAAAATAAATAGATCTGGTATCATGATGCTAAAAGAAGCTTTCCAGAAATAAGTTGCCCAGTTTTGCTTGTATCAGTTTGAGTAAGCAGAGCTGTTTGACAAAGCCAGACACGCTTCCTCTTCATGTTGGATAAGCAGTAGGGATCTTTTAATAGCAGTGTATTGGTATTATCCACTGCTATTAAAAGCACAAGTGGTGACATTACTGTACTACCATGGTATGCTATTACCACTCATATGATAAGACAGGCATCCCAGGGCAGGGATAGCTTCCAGGGCTCCTAGATCCTGTGGGAGACATGYTTTTCTTGTTGCTGTTGTTATTATCTGCACACTGAACAGTACAAAGCAAACGGRCTCCGAGTAATATCAACGAGTGCCAATCGGGAATACGAGAGCTGGGCTTGTTCAGGAAAATAAATTCTTAAGCCACAATTAAAATTACTTGGATATGTTTGTTTTAAAAAAAAAATCACTGAGTGACTAAGCCAAACAAGACCACTGACTGTTGTGTTAAGCTGAGATTAACTCACTTGGGTGGTTTCTCCACTGTGCGGTAAGTGTTGAAYGCCTGCAGCTGCTGCTGCACCCCAACCAGGGAGTTGGCAAATTTGCGATTGTTGAGGATGATAATGGTTTGCTCAATCCACTCCAGCAGGTCAGAAGCCAGGGACTCRTATTTCTCTATCATTTTCTCTGTTTCAATGGCATTGTCAAGCACCTGCAACAGCAGCACAACACACATGAGTCACAAGGGCAGTGCTCTTCAGTCATTTAAATCYAACAGGCTACATAAAAGAAACTGCTGGGAGACTTGAGTTGTGAATCAGAGTACTCACTGCTGGGATCCCTGAGGAATGAGAGCTCGGCATTTTTCAGCACTGAACTCCCAAGATCCCACAGCAATAGKGGGGGCAGAACTGAGGCTCACACAAGGTTTCATGTTCAGTCTGCCAGCTATAAGGATAGGGGCAATGTTGCCCAAGGACAGAGAATGACTGCACATGTTTTAAATGAGGGCCTTTTCCTCAGAAGACAGAGGGCCCAGAGGGTTAGGAGCAGTTAATGAGAAAGAAAAAGCAGCAATGATGCAAAATTAACAAGCAGAAATAAAACACCAGCCAAGTGTTTTCTAATGTGAGGCAGCTGGAAATTAACTACTCCTCACAGTCACATGGTAATATTTAACATTCAAAACACGTTCAAAAGCAAAAAACATAAAAATTAYCACAGAGTGGACTCTTAAAAAAAGTAACACCCAAGAGGAAAAAGAAAATCAGAAATGGTCATGACCTGCTTTGTAACGATTTATAATTTAAACTTGCAAACCTTTCCGATACGTTTTCCTTCAACAGCCAAAGCTTTCATCTTGGAGAAGTAGTGGTAATATGTCACCACATAGGTGATGATTGACTTTTCATCAGGATGATCAACACTGATATCTGCAAACCAAACAAGAGTTATCTCAGCATGCTGAGCATGTGAGGGTTACACCAACAGAGCTCACAGTGCACCAAGGATGTGTTTGGGAATCAGAGATGGGTTCAGCAGCAGTTCAGCCCCCAAGGTTTGTGTTCTAAGAARAAGTAAATTGAGCAGCATTGCTCTGGTTCTGGCAGTAATGTGGACTGGGGCTAAAGCCTTTGGGCCTTACAGTCAAGTTCCAGACTTTGTCACAGCTTGTGCACAGCCAAATAAATCCTCTGGCATCTGTGTGAGTTGACAGAACTACTGTTAATTGAGAACTTCAGTGCTGTGTCAGCATTTGGAGAGAGAAATTCAAACCTATGTCTGTCCAGGTGAATCTGACAAATACAGGTAGAAAGCAAAATTTTTCTCTCCTGCAGCAATTCTGAGGCACTGGAAAACAAGCATGAAGAAACTTGCCCAAGCACATCACCCCTGCCCTGTGACACAAAAGGCTCTTGCCCCAGCACTGGGAGTGCACACACACCCATGGACGCACGGGCTGAAACTTCACTGATTCTCAGAGGACATCAGAAGAAAGCCTCTGACTGGAATGACTTAGGAATAGTGGCCCGGCCAACAAACCTTCAGATAGCAGTAAATAAACAGGATTAAGGACTCTTGTGCTACTGCTGCTCAGTTTGCTGCTGGAGACATCTCACATTCTCTCCTTCCCTCTCTGCCTGTATCACCAGGTGAGTCAGCAGCATCCAGCTGCTCTTGGACATAAAAAGCTGTCACAGAAATGTTCTCTGACATGGAGGGGTAGGAGGAAAGAGCCCACAAAAAGCCCTAAAGTGCTGAAACTGCTGCAATTCTTACCCTCGGGGTCCAGGAGCTTGGTAAGACCAAGGTGCTGCTCTGCAAGGTTAAAAGCATTCTGCAGATTGTAGTGTGCATTTGATTTCTTCAACTTGTCAAAATCAATCAGATCAGGCCTAGACAGGATGGAAAATTCTTTAGATTTCCCCAAGCACAGTGCAGTCACCCTCAAATGAACTAAAATCTCCAACCCTCAGAAAACCCGGCCAAGGTTTCATGTGCCCTGTGCAYTTCCCAGCAGTGTTAAAAGAATGAAGAAATACCCAGCACACGGCACAGGGCCTGCCCATGGGAGAGAACAGGGCAGACTTTAACRGCAGGGAAAGTGACCCTGGAGAAGAGAACAAAGTTGTGGTCATGAGTCTCTCCTGATGCCCAAAAAAGTGTGCAATCCATCCGGAAAACTCTGCCTGAGCTTGCCACGAGCAGTATCCCCAGCCATGGCAGCCTGGCACTACATCTGGCCATCCTTGGGCAGGGATTTCCTTCCCCTCCAGGCTGCTCTGGGTGTGCTTCCCCATTCCCGCCCCCAGATTCCACACCGGGGCATGGGTTACTCACTGAGGTACAAGAGCCAAAGCAAACCCAAAAAAACCATGGGTGTAATTTATTCCCTTGAAATCAAACATAATCTATTTTGACTTGTGCTGTGAGAAGCTGCTGCCCAGCTGAGCTCACAATGACCACAGGAGCTGTAAAGCTCAAAACAAGGCAAGTTGCTGTAAAACTCTCAACAACTCCTCAAGTTCCTGCTCTTCAAAGATTTTTAAAATCAAGCTGCAAGGTAACTGCARAACCAGGGCAGAATTTATGCACACGTACCTGTGCTTATGGATCAGTGCATTGAACGCCATCCCATCCCTCCAGCTTGTTGTAAAGTTGTGGATATTGACATTGGGGTACCTGGAGAAAAAAACCCAGGAAAGTGCAGTCAATACAACACCCCCACTGCAGCTCTGCACACTGGCACCAAAAGTCACAGCAGGGAGATATTAAGTTTTCCTTGGAAGTGTTATTATATCTTCACACTAGGGTGAAGAAGAGTCACCATATTACTATAAATATTAATGGATTATCAGATTGGTGTGTTTATCACCCAGCATTAACAACATAAATTCAGAATTTTCTGACTTGTAAACATCAGCTCACTTCTCTTGAACTCCCTCTCTCTGAATCCACTTAAGAAGAGATATGTTTGCCCATTTAAAATTRTTTCAACAAAACTCAAAAAGCTGTAAGAGCTTTAGAGATAATCACTTAATCCACACTCACCCAGCTGTTTTCATCTGGCACCACAAAAGCAAAGCATCTTTAGCAGATTTCTTCTCTTTGTTGTCCTCAGTTTCAACGCTGATATCTTGGATCTAAAATTAACATAGAAGATTTCAATATTTCTCTCTGAGTTAACACACAGCCTTTTTTGAAAAGATTAAAGGAATGCTGGGAAACACCAAAATTAAAGCTATTAAATGTTTATTACTATGCTATTTATTATGAGTTATATATTTATTATATGGATTTATTATTCTTTCTGCAAAAGGACTTCCCAGCCTTTTTTAACTAAAGGCAAAGACCAATATGCAACTTGCTGGAAAACCAAAAATGTCAGCTTTAGCTGGGACACTAAAATAATTCTTGTGTGTACTCTTAAGCCATGTTAGTGCCAAGTCAGCCAGGTTATGGATAACCAGCATGGAGATGGAGAGCAGCTGAGGGCAGCATTTCCTCCTGGGTCTAGTGGACAGGTTGGAGCTTCATATTTAGTTGGGATTTAGAAATAAAGCCATATGAATTTCCCATCACAGGGCAGCAGCACCATGGAGACTGATTTATCCTGACAGATTCCCAAGCCCTTCTCCCTCCCATCAGCTGGGAGCACCTGGGAGCRCTCTGCTTTCAAAATACACAGTGACGTGTATTACAAACAGGCATGGAAAGCTGATCCATRTATCTGTGTGAGCACACAACTTTACCTGGAATCTCAGGATAATAGTCCAAATAAGGCCAAGTGTCAGCCTGTGATTCCCATCCACAATATCATGAGATCCCATGTTTTCCAGGTGCACTCGTTGCTCTTTCAGGAACTGGAGGGCTTTATCCACATTCTCCAGGCAATGGATGCGCATCCTTCCTTTAGTTGGTTTAGGCTAGAAGGTAAAAGGAAGAATAAAAACATTTATTACTGTGGGTGGAAAGGGGAAAAACCAAAACTTGTAAACTCTTCAGCCCAGGCAGATGCATCACCACTTCCAGGCAGCAACACTGCATCTATTTCTTAAATTCCAGGGATAGAATCTCTCCTTGCATCCTACAGGATAATGGTAGCAGGTTCTGCCAAACCTGWGGTGGAAAAAACAACATCCTTGACCTGATCTGGGCACATGGACCCAGTCTCACTGGTCTTTCAAAGGATTTTTTCCTGCTTACTTCCCTCATGTTTCCTGTCTAGGATATTCACTCACAAGCTCATTTTTGAACCATGAGTTACTCAATAGACCCCTCAAGAAAGAAGTGGCATTGCTTTTTTTGGTCAGTAAATTGGATAAATAGTAAGAAAATAACAGAGATTWATTCCAAGTTACTCTTCATAGGAAAAAAGTACTAATTAAGAAATCAGCCACATCAACACAATTTTATGAAGGCCCAGTGCAATTGCAAAAAAACAATGAATATGTTATCAGCATGCTTAATTCTGCTGTAGAACTGAACAAAATTAAAGGAACTTCGTTGTGCAGATAAGGATTACAGCTGAATAGCCTGTTCAGTGTTCACTGGGATGTCACCAAAAGTACACAGCCAAACGACTAATTGCTATAATTTCCTTGTTTYCCGCAGTGAAAGCAATTAACTGACCATGGAAATAGCTCAAGCAAAATCCTTGCCGAGGCCTGCATTCAAGGGSAAGAGTTTCAACCATGGTAGAGTCCCAGGAAACACAGAATGTGTCACAGGGGAGGTGGAGAGGGAAGCCTTGCCAGGAAGATGCCCTTTGGGACACAAACCCTGAGGCCATCAGCTTCAGCCTCAGTCAGCCTGGGTCTGTTCTCCTCCAGAGGCTGGGGAACARTGCAATGTCAACCCACAGCTCCTAGCAAAGGGGGGAATTTCCAGAAGCCTGSCACTGTTTTGTGGTACAAAAGTCCCTCTAGGAGGCCCAGATTGCATGTACAGCCTGTGCACACCCCATCCATCCCAAACACTGGCTGGAGCAGGAGGGAACTGTATGGTTGGCTAAAGCCAGCCAGAGATCCCCCACCTAGCAGGGACAACCTGGGATCCAGCCTTTAAGTGGCACCATCAATCACCAGGAGTGTGGAAAGCTGTACCTAAAGCTTGATTGAAGCTTGCAAAACAGAGGTAGGAGGCTGTTCTAGGGCGGGAGGGAAGGCGGAGGCCCGGTTGCACCCCCAGCTCTGGCCCACAGCTCATACCAGCCCATGGCCACACCTGGAGCCCTGGAGCAGCTTCCCAGGCCTGCTCACCTGCACAAGGATGTTCCCAAGGCTCAGGAATGACTGTGGCCATTTCTCAGAGGCAGTGGCAGACTGCAACCTGTCCCTTGTGCTTTAACGCAGCCCTTCCCACTGCCTGAAGCAGTCTCTGCACTGCCTCTATTGCCTCAAACTATTGAGCAGAAAAGGATTTGAAAAGCTCTTTTTGTGCTCTCAGAAGTTCCATCATCACAGTGACAGAGCCAAAAGCATTCACCACGTATGTTTTATGTAGAGGAAGAGGCGTCTGAGTCTGGTTTGTGCAAGGTGTGGCTGTGCTTGCCACACTCCCCTGCATAGCCTCAGGATGAGGCATAGTGAGACATATCTTGCCCATTTATTGGGCTAACACAGATCCAGACATTGAGCAGAGGGAAAGCAAGTTCCAAACCCAGAGTCTTCACAYGCACATTACAGGAAAACTACATCAAAACCCTTCCTCTCTTCTAAGAGAAAATATGGCAGAACTCACTACAGAGAATGTGCTTAAGTGGTTTGACCTTTGAGCATCCAGGAATTGTAAGGAATTTACTAATCCTTTATTTAGTTATGGAAGAAACTGAGCTAAATGCTTAATCTTAGGCCGAAAACAATTCTAAGCTTTATTTTTCTGTTTGGGAGAAGCTGGTTAACAGTGGGTGCAAACCAAATTACAACTGTCCTTTCACGCTGGCTGGATTCCTTCCCACTGTGCTCAGTGAGAGCATTGCATGCTATCAGTTTCCTTCCAAACACTCTGCTGTAGAGAAGACATTATGCTGTAAGGTCTGAACTAAACACTGAGATTAGGAATCAAGCTGAGCAAGGTCAGGAAGATGTAGGTGTTGCCCTTGTTGGATGCTCTCATTTTGAGTTTCTCCAACACACCTCCARCGACTCCAGGTTTAATTAATAAAAATCACAGCAGGTTTTGGAAAATGTAGGGTTTGTGCAACTGAGGTGAGAGGGCAAAGAGCAGCCCTGCTTTCTTGATTGGCATCCAAAATCCAGCTCCAGAATCTGAATCCCAGTTTCAAAAGAGAGGAAACAGTTCCTATTTGTTCCACTGCACCAGTAAACACAATGTTTATAGGATACTTATCTATGCTAGTTTCTATTTTCCTACCATTTCATGCTTCTTGTCTTGATTTTAGGCCTTTTGTATAAGATCTGCCTTCAGATTTCTCTGGGGAGCCATGGAGATGTCAGAACCTACCTAATATTGACTACAATAAATTCCAAAAGACTAAAGAATGTCAGCAAGTGGATGCTGTGTGCCAATCTTACTGGAATATTTTTGGTGTGTGTAAAGTCCTCCTGGAATACTTTTGGTGTGTGTAATTGTCTCAAAGTTTAGTGCATTGCGTTTGCTCTTGTTTGCAGAGGAAGGTGTGGTGGAATGCACTGTTCAAACAGAACCTGCTGTCCTCCAGCCTCAGATAAGGAAGCTACAAAAAGAATTTGTGGTGGTGCAGGCAGTTGCCAATGCCAGACACAAATGATGATGCAAGTGCAGCTCCATGGAAGCTCCTGCCTGCTCCCCACCCTGCAGCTGCCTCAACCCTGTTTGCATTTTCCAAAACCTGGGGTGAAAAATGTAAATGAACGGTGCAACCAGAGTCATGGGACTGCTCTGAGCTTCCTATTTGCTGCTGAAAGTCAAATCTGGGCAGGCAGACAGGCAGACTTAACCTGAGGTGGCACAGTTGGTATCTCAGCCCTCAGATAATGGCACATGTTGGTCTCAGCTATCCCTGTGTGAGGAATTCCTGCTACCTGCAGAGAGCATGTCAAAGCCACCATGCTGCTGAATTCTGGCAGAGACAGAAAGGGGCACTGAGCAAACTGCAGCTGATGAACACCAGGATTTGTTACCTGCACGCACACAAGCACTTCTGTGCATGTCACAGCTCCCTTGCCCTCATGGATGCACTCAGAAAGCTCCTCTCCTGCCTCCCAGCACACACACACACACCACACTGGGCCATATGTTCCACTCATTAACAAGAGTCTTAAGCCATGGAGCTCCACTAATAGGAGAGCTTGATGACAAGTGATTACCCAGCCCCCTGCAGCCTTGGGTCTTAGCTAAAGACCCGTATTTCTTTGAAAAGATTGCTTTAAATTAGGCAGTTAAGAACATCATCATCATTTAAGGAACTGAAGGAAAAGCTGACACTCAGTCACTTCATGACACCCCCTTTTCCTCTTGTGGTGCAGAATTTTTCACTACAAGGACTTTCCTACTCACCACTCCTTTTGCTGGTACCAACAGGGTGCCTCAGCACCCCCAAAGAAAGAATTTGACCCATTTATTCAAACTGATTTTAGATATTCCCCTAACCAAAGAAAGTCCAAGCCTTATCTATCCAAGTATAATCAAATCCACTCAGGGACATTCTTAAGCAGTGGGTATAACGAACGCCACAGCTCCAACTGCTGCAAGGCTTCCCAGAGTAGGGCAGGCCTCTCCAGTTGTTGTCCTGCAGTCCTCTAGCATGCTCTGGGAAGGGAGAAGGGATGTGCCAGGTCTGCACACCTGCATCAGCACTGGGTTTGATAGCAGAGAAATGGGCCACTCCCCACAAGGCCCAGGAACATCCCCCAGCACATCTAACTCACCACCACAGAGGGATCTAAGGGGCTCAGGAACATTTTGTGCTCTGTGCCTGTCAGATTTGGGAGCAGGGAACATGCTGCTAGAAGCACTCAGCATGTTACCAGCAAGGAACCTTTGAAGAAGACTTCTTTTGATTCCCACTGAAACTAGTAGAAAGGTATTTTAATGGTGTCTGGATCCAGCTGAAGCAATAGAACTCTTTATTTTTCCCTCAATGCATAAAAAGTCATTTTCAGTGCTGAACCCTCAACACTCAGTTTTCCTACACTGCAGYTGAGCCAAGGATTCGCAAAATCCCACCCAAAACTCTCACAGTGAATATTGATAAGCACTTACAAGTCTCTCTCCTGAAAGAACTTCCAGGAGTTTGATGAGCATCCTTCCATCTCGAAGGTCAGTGTACAGGTCTGTAATTCGGCAGGACACACGAGCCAAGTGGGAATTCACCCACTTTGTGAAGGTCTTCTTCTGAACTGCCTCACGTTCATCTGTGGGGAAAACAACACAACATTACTCGAAATGAATCACAACTAGTGTTTCTARATAAAATGGGATGTTCAAATAACTAAAATTAAATGGTAGGTATGGCTCGTCTTCTTGACAGGATCATTGATGAAATTAGGACTTTCCAATGAAAACCCACCATTCTTCACCTGCTGAGTTCACCTGCTCTGGAATACATACACAAATCCACAACAGATCCCCCAAAATACTGCAAGTCACTTGGATTAAGACAGGCATGAAAGAGAGCAGAGACCAAAGCTTCCCACTGACTTTTTTCTCTTCTCATGATAATATTTATTTGCAGATTCAACATTTATAACTGTATTTACACAATGTCAAGATGAATTTTTCCATAACTGCATGCCTGAGGCAGACAAGCATTTATTTCAAGCCATAGAAAAATAGATTCTTTCCACCTTCCCTTCCCAGAGTATTTCACAACTGTTTATAGAGGAAAACATTGGCTGTGAGAGCTCTCTTACTGCACAGGCTCACTGCAGTCCACATTAATTCACAAACTCCTACCCAGCGATCTGCCAAGCCCAGAGCTCTCAGACAGAAAACATTATACATCTCTGTGGTTAAATCCTTCTGCCAAGGACTTTGGATGAAGCCCTTCCTTGTTAGYCAAAAGTCATTTCACTGAGCTGGGAAATACTACAGACCAAATGTGTCAAAACACAGGTGCTCTGACTCGGACTCKGAAAGCCACAGTTACACAGATGAATGGAAGTGCTCTGCTTTCCCAGACAAACAAAATTCCAAGCTTGCCATCAGTCTCTATAAAGTTGTTGGCATGTCCAGGAACAGGACATGAAGACAGGCTAATCCTAAACTACTGTGTCCCCACACTGAAAGCTCTGAGAATGTTGTCTGAAACACAGGGAAACATTCCAGATCTGACTGCCCAGGCTGTCCTTCCAAAGGTAGGATGTGCTCCCTTTCTAGCAGCGCAATATGGTATGGGCATTATCCCAGCACATTCATAACCAGTCACTGCTCCCAGAACATGGGGGACAGCAGCAAAAATACAGTCTAAGTGATGTGAGATGATAAAGATGCTGAGCGTGAAGAGCGCAGAAAGCTGGGGAACAAGTAAAAGAAAAAAAAGACAGTAAGAAGAGAAATCAGATAATGGAAGGGTGGTGGGCGGGATGGGGAGCAGACCTGCACTCAGTGCTGGTTTGCACAACTGCATAAACCCCACCCTAAGATTTCAGTTCCTCCCACTTATTTCTGAACTTATCCTTCCTGCCCATGTGGTTGGATATGACCAAAGCTACTGCACTGAAACTGCCCTGTTTTTGACAGCTTTTACCGACCTGTAAGGTATGAAATCACAAATGTGGCTTGGAAAGCTGTCAAAGGTGGGGTTAGTGACAAAACAAAAGCTATCAAATACTGTCTTAAAGCCAGCCATTAATATAATCGTTGGTCAAAAATTATGGTTATCAATAATCTTCCCAACTGGGGTCACAGTGAAAGTAATGGGTGGGAAAAGAACATCCATGTGGGTTTATTAAAAGGAGGTGAACAATCAGGGCCTAATTCTGAACTGATGAAAGACATGATGTAGGAAATGCAGTGACACATCAAGTCAGGTTGTGAAACTTTTGGTGCCATRGTATTAACTGACATCAGCTTGAGATCTCTTGTTGAAAGCAGGTCAAGGAAGCCAACAAAGCAAGCGGCCCTTCCAGAACAGGGAAGACAGTTCCCTCCTGGGGACAGCATGCATGTGGTTCAGASGTTGCTTTCCCAAAGAGATTTCCCACCCCAGGGGTGGGCAAGGAGGACAAAATGCATTTTTCAGACAGCGAGGACTCAGAAGGAAAAACCCTGAGAAAGCTTGACTGACTCCTTGTCTTGTGTGTTGCCTCAGCATCCTTAAGCACAGTGAATTATTAGGGAGGGAGAGGATGGGAGCCCAGCCTGGTTGGAGGCCCTCTGTGCTGGGGAAGCTGATTCTGGTGCCGTTAGGAGTGTTTTCTTTACTCTACAGTTCAAAGCCAGTCACTGCCTCTCCCCTTCTGCCTTCCTATTTCCTCAGCCTTGCTCTCTGAGGCCCTTGATTTCCTGTTTATGGTGAGAGGCTGAAGGGTTCAGTTGGTTTCTCTGGCTCCTCACCTCCACCCCCACCCCAGCTCACTCTTGCCTGAGCTCCTCTCACCTGATCCCCACCCATCCTCTGCGGCACCAGCCTCCTCCCTGCTCTCCCTACCAGTTAAAAGTAGTGTGAAAGTCTCTAGTGGGACCACAGCTGTGATGGTTCCAGCACTAACTCCTCATGCTGAGCCCACAGTAGGCTTTTCACACGAGCTCCAGCAATYTGGAGCTATTCATGGCTTTTCACTTTCTTTCCATCTCTCCTCTCATTCACAGCAAGAAGGGCCCAAAGCTGGGAGAGCCCTCATTGTCCGCATGCAGCCCCGTGGGAAAACCCTGCGGCACYACACAAGGGCCAGGCCCCACATGCCACTGCCAGCTTTTGGGAACAACCACCAACTTATGTCAGAAAAATGCCACTGGAGAGACACAGCAGCTCTTTCAGGCTTGTAATGGGGTGGTCACCCAGGAAGGCCAGGCTTTATCCCACGCTTGGCACAGGCGGAGCACAGCTCTAATTCCCCACTGACACTCTCAGCCAGAGAAGCCCCTGAYGGAGAAGGCACAGCCTTTCTTACCCTGCTTCACTTCACTCCTCTTGCACTCCCACAACGTGGCAAAGCAAACCAAGCCCGTTTGGAAAGTGGTGTGACTGAGGTTGGTCATGTTAAAACCTCTCCTGATTATTTCCACATGATGTTTCACAATGATAGCAGGTTTTTGCAATGCTTTTATCAACCCTTTCTAACTGATAAACTGTATTTTTCTCCTCTGGGGTTTCAGGTTAAAACACACACAGAATTAAAGTGAAGGAATTTTGGTTTTATGTAYGTACAGAAATGTGGTGCTTAGAGCCCTGACAGTTTGGTTAATCACACAACACAACTGTGACTCTCTTAACGTGCAAAAACCTCCACTGTAAGGGCCAGGTGCATGAGTGGTGACTCCAGGGATTTAACATCAGCCATGGGCCCTGAGTGCTATTTACAAACCTCATGTGATGATTTTGACAAATGTCCTTCATACTTTCAAAAACACAGTTATGGATTTGGAAGATTAATTAAAACTAGAGGATATGGGTGGAGCTCCAAGTGTCCACAGCTTGTGAAAACATTTGTTTCCCAAGGGTAAAGAGAAATGAGCAACAGGCAAAACATGCACAGCAGGAAAACGGAAGCTGCTCTCAGTGCAGTATCGATAATAGAGAATCCAACTTATCTTGAAGCAACACTGGGAAGGAAATTTCCTTTATGCGGAAGGCCCCATGACAATGCTATGGGCAGACGCAGGCTAGCAAACTCCAGTGCTGTGATTGCAATGCATCAAGGACTGACTTTGTTTAGGAGTTTAGTAAATAAACCAGAGTTTGTACACTGAAAGCATAAACTGAGCTGGACAGGATCACAAACAGGCATCTTACCCCTTCCTCGCTGAGAGACCATTCCCCCTCCACTTATTTGATGAGAAAAAGTCCTGACAAAAATGCAGTCAACTTTCTGAAAGCCCAGAGCTCAGCTGCCGAGCCCCCAGTGTGGGACAGAGGAAGGGGGTCGCATACACCAGCCCTCTTGTCACACGCTCAGCTCTGCTGGGTGAACTCAACAGGGCTGTGCCACAACAGTGGTGAATTTGTTTTAATAACTGCCCTGGGAAAGGCAGGACTGCAGAAGCTGGCTGAGACCAACGTGGGCCCCGTGACCCTGTGCACTCCCAGAAGCCAGCAGGTGTTACAGGCCCCAGGGCCTTCGYGTGCAGCAGCACTGACCGCAGCCATGGCAAAGGTTACCTGTGTGGCCACCTGCCTGCTAAAAACAGCTTCCAGACACYCTACTCGCTTCCATACTGGTCAAACCACATTTTCAACAAACTGACCTTGAAGCCCTTTCAAACAGAATGGTAAATCTGTTTGGGGCACACTGCTGCCAGCCCTGCACAGGTAAAACCATTTTCGGTGTGCGACAACTCCTGCCAGCCCCTGGACAGGGGCAAACACCTCCACACAGCAAAGGGGGTGCTCTCAAAGAAGCCCATACAGGGAAACTGGAGCACAAAAATGAGAGCTGAAAGGAGYAGTCGGGGACTGCTGCCGGGCTCTCAGCCCCTCGGGACAGCCCGGCCATCAGTGGCACCGACAGCCTCCCTGCCGAGCCCAGCCAGAGGGCAGCGGCTCTATGCACTTTCACAGTCCACAGATCTCTGCTATACCTCAAACAAGACAAATTACAGGTGACTTTAATCCCTAACTCCAAAAGCTCTGTCTCCTGCAGGTTTACATCTTATATTTCCATGCTGGAATTAATTTTTCCACCTTAAAATTATTACTTTTTTCACTACAGCAGTCGGTGTGTGTCCTAAATGAAGCACTGCTACACACACTGACTCAGAGATCAGCTGAGCACTGCTCTARGCACACCACTTCTGCTGATATCCAATATCCACAGCTTTCCAGAATTTCCCAGATCATATCCTCATTTAACAGAGCACAGAGAAAACAGAGCTTCATTGCTGGAAACAGGACAACGTTCCCATTGCTGATGGTTTTCAGGGTACAGGATATCACCCTATGCTTTCTCACAGATGCAAAGATATGCAATGAAATAGCCAGCCACAGCTTCTCAAATTCCAGCTGTGCTTGGGGGTTTTTCAGCTGAGAAAGATGCCTGAGAGAAGGGCAGATCAACCACTGGGACCAGAATGTGGTGATCAAACAAGATTTTATCAGGAAACAATAAGAACAGATGTGCTGTGATAACCTTCACTGTTTGTTGCAATAAGCAAAGAGCGATAGTGAACATGAAGTAGCTCTAACATGGGTCGAACATCTGAGGCTCCGGGCAGGCTTGAATGAAGTAACCTGGCCCTGAGGGTAACACAGAGG